ATTGTTACAGTTACTGCTCTAACAGACAACAGCCCTTTTGTGAAAACACCCTTAAACTTTAGTTGGCCTCAGACGGTATTCACTACAGTGTGCAGTAGTAGGCATGTATTTTTGTACATTTCTACATCATTTGGTGCATAGTGGTGTTTGTAATGTAATGCCATTTAGCTATATGACATAGATATTATCTCTGAAAAACATGTTGCGATACATGCAGATTAAAATCAGTGAGAAGTAAGTGTAGGGGTAAATAAGTCCTCTTCCTGTTGCAGAATTCTGTGGGAAAACCGAACTAGGATAAAAAAGACAATAAAAGGCTCAAAGGGCAGGGAGAAAAGGTGGCAGGGACGGGATGGGAAACAGGGGGGTGGAGTTTCAAAGAGTGTGAGAAAACAAGCAAGAGATGACAGAAATGTATGGGTGAGATGCTGAGGTCATTTGAGGCGTGTGTTTGTGCATATATATGTGGGTGTGTGGGGTAGGTGGGAAGGGTGGGTGAGTGGTGTTGTGGCCTTGGAAAAGCAATCAAGCTGACAGTGTGTAGGAGGGGAAAGCCCTGGACCTGGCCTGCCTGCCTGAGGCCTCAGCCTGGCCTTGAACTGAGGCAGGTTATTTAGTTTAACAGGATGTGGCCAAGGACTGTATACAGTTCTTACCTGAAGTTCCCTTTTTGATAGTAGGTGAAAGTGTAGCTTCTAATGTGTAGCAGGAACAAACTATAGGCAGAAACAGTAATTTCTTTATTTGATTTAAAAAGCTTTAACCCTTTGGCTTAGTCATGAACTGCGGCAAAATAATTGGGGGGCTTTACAGGCGGGAGATCTGTATAGCCCCCCAATTCTGTAAGGAATCACGTTCCTGTTGTCAAACCAGTGACAGCATGTCGATGTGTCAACTGTTTTCTACATTTCCAACATGCCAAACAAAAGTCTGGTGAAAAGTAGAAGCTGGTAACATGTGGCTGTCCATATATTCCCCTGGAAAGAACTACAATACAGAGCATTTCACCATGGGTTAAACAAAATCTAGTAAAGTAACAAAAAACTGTCGCATCACATCCAAGTGCCGACCGCTATCCTTAACGTTGATTTGAGAGGCCATGATTGTAACGGAGCTGATCAGGGAACACAAGCTGCTTCTACTGAACTTATTTTTTTAAGGGCTTGTGTGATTCCTATCAGATAAACCTTACATATATTTTATCTCAAGGTGACTGTATCATACCAATCAATGACGGGATTTGTGATTAGAAAACCGTTTTTCCTTTTAATACTACAGCATTGAAATAAAGAGAGGTACACAGGCCATGGGAATTATTGTTTGTAAAGCTAACTTAAAGATAAGGCTGTTAGACTTCCTTGTATGGCAGCGCCTGACCTTGTCATGTCATAACCAGTGTCATTGTAGTCATTATATCAGAAACACTTCTCCCAAGGCAACTGTCGAAGCTGCACGTGTAGCACAGATAAATGGTTTTTCACTGTTGTGTACATGCAAATATTTATTTTATCCAGAATGTTTACTTCTCATGATCATGAATTGGGGATTTTTAAGGAAGTTGGAGTATTGTGTGCGATCGGTTTATGTCTAGAAATGTATTTTTCCAGTTCTGATTCTTAGAGCTAATAACCCCCACCTTCAACCACAACCATCAAGTAGCTCTGCACACGTCTTGTGACCTAGAGGAGCTTGTTGCTGCCTTTTTTCACTGCTGCGTGCCTCTATTAATCATCGGCATACAGACAACTGTCATTATCCACTCAAATACAATTTACCGCTTCTGTGGACATATGATGTGAGGTGCAGTACGTGCATCTGTGTGTTCAGCTTCTAGTCAGAGCCTCTCGCAGTAAGTCAGTTTGAGTGCAAGGTTGTTTAGGTGGCATCGTGTTCTAAAAAGGATGCATTTGTTCGTGGTTTCGTCTTTACTGTGCGGGTCATGAGAGGAGGATATACTGCTGGCCTTAGCATTCATAGCAGAGGAGAGACTGAAGCAGAAGAGGAACACGTGAAAGGCAAACAAACAGGAGGGTGAACAAATGGGCTTTCACATGTTCCTCTATTTACATGTACACACACACACACACACACACACACACACACACACAAATGTGATTATTTTCCTACCTATTCCCATAAATTACAATCAAAGATTTCAAGCTGATTTAATTCCCTGAAAGCAATTTTGAAAGAAACACTTACACTCAGACAAACGCACACACATTCAGATAATTTTTTACTGCACAGCAGAGGAAAAATAGAGAGAGAGAAAGGATTAGCAGTTATATGGTTGTGTGGCTGCGTGCTGTGGAAGGAGCCAGATTACCATCAGAGCAGTTGGAATTCAAGCCTTATCTCTGCTTGGCAGGGCCCAGTCTTAGGAACAGTAGATGAACTAGCCCTGGGTACGGGCCTGCCGGGGGACAAACACTGCTGCCTCTGTTACGCTCTGCTTAACAACCCGATTAGCATGGTACAAAGGTTGGCCATGTCTTGGTTTGAACCAATCAACCTGCTACAGTTTTCTGTGATTCCTCTGTAGCAGGACTGCTGGTCCTCTTAGGAACAACACTGCATCAGCACAGTATGCTCTGTTACATGAATTTGCATGATATGGAAAACCTAGAAGTCATATTGTAACATAACGCAGAGCAATGACACGCAGGTCTAAATACAAATCACATATTTGCAGAACAAATCGATTTAGGGCTACTAAGCAAAGCTGTTATAACAGCTCATAACTTTAATTGTAACCCAAGTTAAACTGTGTTTTCATAGATAGATATTGATTAAGCAGATTTTTACCATTATTTTTTTTATCAAATCTATGTCTTTAATAAGCTTCTACTACTAACTTCTCATCAAATGTTTGTGATTTTCTGGTGGAATACATGTGTCTATGTGCTTATCTCTGTGTTTCCACAATTAAGTTTCTGTGGAATGACTCCTCTGGTGACACAGTGTCCCTTTTCCAAGCCTTGTTGTTTATTCATCTATCCTCAGTCAGAAGAGCCAAGAAAGGAGGGATGAGAGCAAGGGTCGAGACAGAAGAGGATGGGTTAGGAAGACACAGAGCTGTCAGGATAAACAAAGAAAATGGAGAAAGGAAATGTGGTTGAAAATGATAGATTATGTGTTAGGGAGTGGAAGTGATATTTAACAGGGACTCTCTCTACCTCTACCCCTGTGTCACCCTAGAAATGCAGTCGTTGTTGCAGACTTAGCTGTCTGCAGGTACAACTTGGGAGAGCCTGCTTTCAGAGTTCCTGCCTGATCTTGCCCGCAGGAAGCACACACACAAACACAGACACAGACACACAAAGACACACAGGAAGAAAAAGAAAGAGAAAGGTAGAGTGAGAAAGATGAGAAGAGGCATAATCATAGAGAACCCAGCAAACACTGATATGCTGAGTGCTGTACCCTTGAAAAAGTTCAGTTTCCAATACCCAAACATCCACAAATTACGGTCAGCGAGTTGTTTCTCCAACGTCAGATGTCTAAAATATACACATGTACCTGTGTCTGCTTGCTGTTTACAACCCTTGCTAGGCCCCATTACCACATGATGTAGTCATGTTAACACTAAGAGCTCTACGTCCTGTCTTCTCATGCCTGTGAAACATTTTCAGCTAAACTGTGAGTAACGGCTAACGGGCAGCTAAGTCAGCACAACTCCTCAGTAATAATCAGTAGCAGCAAATTGTTGAAACTGAGGCTGCATCACAACTAATCATTTATTTTTTTCTGTACTGTATTTACTTTGGGTTGTCACAGTATAGATTTTTCAGTCACAATAACACCACTTGTGGCTGTATAGTGTTTGTATCTGTGACTCTGGAGGTGCAGTAAGAAAGCCATGTAAGCATATTTAAATGCAGGACAGTTACAGAGAGGTACAAACTATCTATACGCATTTTCTATTTTTGTAGGATGTTATTTAATACAGTAGTTTATAGCACAGACAACCAGGCCTTAAAGGAAAAGTTCAACATTTTGGGAATTACGCCTGTTCACTTTGCCTGGAGTTGGATGAAAAGGCTTGGCTGTTTCTTGGTAAGGACCAGTAACTTCCCAGAGTCTCTGCTGGTGGCCTGGCAACTGTTTGTGCTAAGCTAAGTTAGCTGTCCACTGGTGGTAAATTCATACAGTACAGAGGTGAGAGTGGTATCAGTCTTATCTATGTAAATAAGAAAAGTAAATTTCACAAAATGTGTAACTGTCCTTGAGGTGAAGTGAACAGTGAAATGAAATTGCCAAAGTAGCACGTTTGACTCTCTTGAACATGGGGGTGTGGGAACTTCCACACATGGTCCAAAGAGTATAAAGAGGCATACAATCACACACATTGGGACAAACACACATGAAATTGAGAGAACTATACTCCCATTTCCAAAAATGAGCATTGTCTGCCGTGTTCTCTCCCCCCTCCCCATCACTCGTCCCTATCTCCCCACATCCATGTTTATAAGTCTCTGGGGGCCCAGGGGTGCCTGTGAGAGGCTAGTTAAAGAGCATGGCATGCTAATGGCTTGGAAAGGATATGAATAGAGGGGCGACTGGAAGGCAGCCATGGCTGAAATGACACACACACACACACACACACACACACACACACAAGCACTCTTATTATGCCTGCCTCTTGCTTTCTATTTTACATGCTCATTCTAACACATCTGTGTGTGATTAGATTTTCTTTTTGGCTACTCGTGTTACTCCCTATTGTCTGTGGTTCACTGCCATCCATACCTCACATCATCTTTTCTTTCTTAGGTAAATACTTATTATTCCTCTGCTGCACTACCTGTCCCCACCCTTTATTTTCTCATGAAGTTTGATGTAAAAGGGAGTTTGGAAACACTGTCTGGTTTTGATTTGAGAATTTATATGTCACAATATCAGACTTTTTTTAAACTAATAGGTATGACTCACTGCTCTGCCCCATATTTTCCCTGTTTCAGAGGTTGAAGTTAATGAATCTTCTATTTCTCTGTTTTTAGGACCTGTCCTGCATTGATGACCTCTCCACAAACTCTCTATTCTCCTCTCCACCTGACTCACTGTCGGAGTATGCTGATGCCCAGCCCTTCATCAGCCCAGAAAAACTGGACACAGTGCCCACCCTCTGGGATGTCAACACTAGTACTACCACCACACCAGCACAGAGCCAGCTAGAGGTCAGTAGTAACTACTCAAACCCACATATTATCAATACCAGAAACAAAGATTTCCACGCTCATCTTACAACTGTTTTTTAATGCTACAAAAGTTGTTTAAATAGCCACATGCATGTCTGTACTGGAGGAGATGGGCACCAGCAAGCAAGGGTCAGATTGTCCCTCTTGCTGTAAACATTAGAGAAAAATGTGGCAGTGAGCCAGAGCGGCACTCACGTAGGACTTTCTGTGTTTGTGTTCATTCATCAGAAAATAGAGAAAAGGCCAATACCATCAACGCTACAACTCTTGTTTCAACCCATGCATCAATGCAGGCTTTAAACTGAATATTATTTTCTTTATTCTTTATTTTATTAATATTTCATTTGTTAGCCACCCATCTATTGCGTAATGGATTTATGCCAATTTGTACAACAATTACCATGAATATTTAAACAATGTCTTACACTTGACATCTTCAAATAATCTGACATGTGACACGATAATTAGCCCCATAACAACAACAACAACAACAACCTATCACGGCAGTTTCAAATAAATATCTTCTTACCGCAGTCGGACAAAGTTCACTGCTCTTTCAAGTTTTCTCTCATAATGAATATGTAACAACCCTAAAGCACAAACATGTAGCATCATCACAGAGACCTGACAAAATGACAAAAATCAGTCCCTCTAATATGGTTTTAACACTGTGACTCTGTAGTCTTTGGACAAGAGCGTAACGGCCTTAGCTCAGCAGATATTTTTTTTACTTGCAGATGCAAACCCATTTCAGTCATCCGTCATTCTCACAATGTAAATACTCAAATAGATTGAATGAATGTAACCACATGTAGACTGTAGCTATTGCACCCAGAGCACGTTAGGAGCCTTGATCACTAGGGGTGGGAATCAGGAGGCCCCACGATCCGATACTATCACGATATTTATGTTGCAATTCGATTTTATTGCGATTTTAAATATATTGAGATATATTGCAATTTATTACCTTTTTCCAACTTCCAATTAGGTCCCTAAAGTCAAACTTTGTCAACATCCGTTTATCTAAAAAGATACATTTCTCTGTTTGTTCATATCACTTTTTCAGTCCTCTATATGGTCCTGTTAAGTTTTCTAGTGGACTAAAAAAAAGCAATAGATTTTATCATTCTAGTACCAAAAAGTTAAAACTCCCATCTGCAATTTATATAATAAAATGGATACTTGGCGTCCGTGTATCGATACAGTATTGCCATGGCAAATATCACGATACTATGCTGTATCGATTTATTTCCCCCCCCCACCCCTATTGATCAAACTGGCTCCATGTGTTCAGTATTTCTCATACCAGTTGATTTTGCTCACTGTTGACTCAGTGGTACACAAAATGGCTACAGAGATACATATGAGGCGGTAAATAATAATATTCATCTTTGTTTTTGATGCACTGTCCCTTCAAACAGAAACTCATTGAAATGTGGGGATCTGAGAAGATAAACGTTGTTCTCAAGTGTTGTTCCTCTATCCCTGCCCGCGTTGCTGTTGAGTCCTCTTTGAATTAGATGGGTCCAAGGATATCTTTTTGATATGAATCAGAGTACATTTATTTCTCCTGCCTTCTGAAAGCCTTTTATGTTTTCCTTTTCATTCTGCCCTCATTTCATCCATTATGTTTCCCAGACACATGCAGCTTTATCTGCCTTTTGTTGTTGTTGTCGCTGGCTTTTCACCGCCAAACAACAAATTGCATTTTGTTGAGTGCTGCTCCATCAGACATCCATGTCCAGTGCCCACACGCTCTCATGCTCATGCGTCCACAGACAATATCACACATACAGTGATTACTCATGTTTTTTTGTCTCTCTTTTCTTATGCATTTGGCACTGTTTTTTATTTGTGTTTGTATTTCTTCATTTTATGTTTTGTTGACAGCTGAATGGCACCGGCAGGTTTCATGGCTTGGCCAGTTTGGATGATATAACTGCTATTATCAGCACCCCACCTTTAGGAGGATTCCAGGTAGCCGTACCAACCTCTCCAATCTGATGTTAAAATGAAACCAAGCTCTCTAACTGGATGAGCCTGGACATTGGCAGTCCTCTGTGATGCACAGATATGCAAATGATGTTATATGTCTCGTGCAGCTGTTATTGCCCTGTGCATTTGCAATACTAGATAAGGGTTAGATTGTTTTACATAGTAACTTAACATGCCAGTAATCTAAGACATTTTGACAGTGCAGTACGTGAAAGTAGTAGTATGTGATGCTTGTGGCTTCTTTGGCAAGACTGTGTTACCACAGATGATGAAAGCATTGCTGCATACTGAATGTAATGGACCATTCTGCCAATGCACACTGCATAGAGAACCAGTTATTTCATACACTGCATTGTCTTTTTAAATGTTTTATGTGACAAGAACAGAGCCAGAGTTACATTGACCTGTCTGTCAAAATGGGACCCTTTTGCATTTCTAGTGTCTCAGATAACATTAATCTGACATTGCCTGAATATGTAAGCACTTTTTTGTCTACAGTTACAAACATGTTTCAATGCTCTCATTCGTTCTGCTTCAGCTGGTTTTATGCACCTTTCAATCTCATTTGTTTTGTTCTTTACTCTTGCACTAGTTAACATTCCTTCACAAAGAGCTCTAGGCATGCCATGCTAACGTTTTACTAAATGCTCCCCTGCCTCTGACGTTCTTCAACAGTCTCTTTCCTAACTTGTCTTCACCTAACCTGAAACAACAAGTATGACTCCTAAATGTGGCTGTTATAAATGTGAATTAAATTACTGAAGTCTTTTTGGTGTTCCCAGGCTCCGAGAGCCCAGCCGCCACCAGAGGAGGAGGAGGATGCTGAGGAAGAGGAGACAGAAGAACTGGGACATGTAGACACATATGCTGAGTACAGACCTTCCAAATGTAGGTCACTAGACTGAATGTCAACATCCTATTACCTTTTAGTGAAGCTACATTTTCCTTGTTATTATGCAAACACTTCCATGCATGTTGCTATTAACATGTCTGCAAAAATGTCCCTTCTCTAAACTGTTTTTTCTTCTTCTCTTCAGCCACTATAGGGATATCTCATCCTGATATAGTGGTGGAGACCAACACGCTATCCAGTGTCCCTCCCCCTGACATCACATACACTCTGTCTATCCCCGAGTCAACTATTAACTGCGGCCTGCTGTCTGCTCTGCAGCTAGAGGCCATCATCTACGCCTGCCAGGTACACACACTGGCTCACATACACGCAGTACATAAAGCACTATGAATAAATCATGTTTTGATTATGCAGGCATCTTTGTTCATGCATTTGCTCTTTGTCTGCCCTCAGCAACACGAGGTTATCCTTCAAAACAACCAAAGGGCGGGCTTCCTGATCGGAGATGGGGCTGGGGTCGGAAAGGGACGCACTGTGGCGGGAATCATCCTGGAGAACTTCATTAAGGGAAGGAAGAAATCACTATGGTAAGAGAGATTTACTGCTCTAGTGGACCTCACAGAGGGAAAACCAGTATGAAACCTTAATAACAGCTGTAGTTTTATTGGGTTTCAGTAATTGATTCAGATAATTGTGTTTTGTATGTTGAATGCCAGGGTATATTGGGCAGGTTTGTGCAGAAGCCGGCTGAATTACTGACTTTCCTGTTCCTGCCCTCAGGTTTAGCATATCCAATGACCTGAAATTTGATGCAGAGAGAGATCTCAAAGACATAGATGCACCGAATATTCCTGTGCATGCCTTAAACAAGGTGAGTCCAGGTGGGAATAACGTGACAAGCTGAGAGAACGAGTTTTGTTCTTGGCAGCTGTTGTGTTGTATAAGTTATATAAGCATCTGAGCAGAATATGAACCAAGCTATATTTGCTGACTGTGTGGCTCTGTATATGTTCACACAGATCTCACGAATACCATTCTTCCGAATGTTTGATTTATTGTAGATTAAGTATGGAGACACAGCTACCTCAGAAGGAGTCCTGTTTGCAACGTACTCTGCGCTGATTGGAGAGAGCCAGGCAGGAGGGCAGCACCGGACGAGAATTAAACAGATCCTAGATTGGTGCAAGCCAGACTTTGACGGAGTTGTATCCTTTCATTTAAACATCCTCAGATCTAAGAGTTTTCTAATGCAAATTAGCATTCCACATGTGCGTTGTTTGCCCTTGACCATTCCCCATTGCAGATTATTTTTGATGAATGCCACAAAGCCAAGAATGCCACATCTACAAAGATGGGCAAGGCAGTGCTTGACCTGCAAAACAAGCTGCCGCGGGCTAGAGTGGTGTATGCCAGTGCCACAGGTAGGCCAACTCGCAAATAAAGCGCACACTTATACGTGTAATGCTATACAGCCAAGGATTTTAAAATGTGTATTTTTGTCATCTCTGCTCCAGGTGCCTCTGAGCCAAAGAACATGATCTATATGAGCCGCCTGGGAATCTGGGGTGAGGGCACACCCTTCAGAACCTTTGATGACTTCCTGCACGCCATTGAGAAGAGGTTTGTACCGTGGCATGTTGGGGAATTTCACTCAAAAACTCTTGCAAGAGCGCCTTTCAGTCACATGGACACACATCTTCAAATCGCTGCGCTTACTGGAAAATACCTTACAGTCAGTTTGTGGGAATGTCTGGTTGATCCTTGATTGAATTATGTTGAATAATTTATGTGCCATTTGTACACAGAGGTGTCGGTGCCATGGAGATTGTTGCCATGGATATGAAAGTGAGCGGGATGTACATTGCCAGGCAGCTGAGCTTCTCAGGGGTGTCTTTCCGCATTGAAGAAATCGGACTGGACAGCGACTTTAAGTTGGTCTATAACAAAGCTGCCAAACTGGTGAGCGTCATGTATTATATTTGTGTATTCTTTGGGTATTGTGTGTGAGATTAAAAAAAACCCTTTAAACTTTAAAGTGACTAATCACATCTGGAATCTGTGCAAAGTGGGCGGAGGCGTTGCAGGTGTTCATGCGAGCAGCTGATGAGCTGGGCCTGGTCAGCAGGAAGTCTCTGTGGGGACAGTTCTGGTCGTCTCATCAGCGCTTCTTCAAATACCTCTGTATTGCCGCCAAGGTCCGCTGCCTGGTGGAGCTGGCCCAGAAAGAGCTGGAGGCTGGAAAGGTCAGCACAACACACTCTTGAACACTGAGTCATATAGTATAAGTGACCCAGAGGAAGATCCAAACAGGAACTGAAATAGTGGGGTGAACTGCTGAAGGACCCCTAGTAAATGGATGCTAGGAACAGCAGAAACAAACCATTAAGATTTTTTTATTTATAATTAATTATAATGTGCCATCGTGATGCCACCTGTTTGGTTGTTGATGTGTATTTTTTTCTGTCCACCACAGTGCATCGTTATTGGGCTGCAGTCTACCGGAGAGTCTCGCACCAGAGAAGTCCTGGATGAGAATGACGGCCATCTCGACAGATTTGTTTCTGCCGCAGAGTGAGTGAAAAGGAATATTTTGTCTGTTGGTTTGTTTGCTTAATCCTGTGATGTTTATTTGAAAGACTATTCACTACAAATGACAAAATGGCTGAACAGCTAAATGAGCAGTTAGAGCAGCAGGAGTGAGTGAGCAAGTTGTTGTGGACTGCAGGCTGTGGGTTTTTTCCATTTCATTTTGTTGCTTTAAACTGCAAAAATGATTTGCCAGTCTGGAGGAGAACATGTCCTCACCACATCCATTCTATATAACGATAAGTACTTCAGGCCATGCAGTTAGTAAGTCCTCACCGTTTATTCTCAGTTAAACCAAACAATCGCTTTAGTTATTAGAAAAACAAGACAGGGAAGGGTACCGGTGCTGAGTGCTCTGAACTTGTGTGACCCTGAACCTCTTACAGCAGACATGCCTGAATGTCTGTGTATATTAGATCACACACAACTTGTTAATCTTTCTGTCAACACCTGACAGCAATAATGAGGCCACGTCAGGAAAGAGTGTCTAACTGCAACAACTGCCATGTGTTGTGTCCTGATCGCTTTGCTGTCAGTATAAAAGTTTCTGTCTCTGTTTTCTCCTCTTCATATCTTTCCTTTAGGGGAGTATTCCACTCTCTTGTAATGAAACATTTCCCTTCAGAGAAACAGAGGAGAGAGAAGGCACCGGGGAATAAGAGAAAACGTAAGAGGATGGCAGTTGTTAACACCATGTCAAGCATTAGCCCTGCATGCTAATTTATATCTATTTCTTATTGAATGATGCTACAAACTGTGCTTTAGAGCTGTGCTGTTTGTTATTCAAATATCGTGTTGTGGCTTCCAATCAGGGAAGCCTAGAGGTCGCCAGACCAAGGTACCCAAGCACACCGTGGACAGCGGCGGTGTGATCAACATCAGCGATGACAGCAGTAGCGACTCTGATGGCATGGACACGGACTCCAACTCCTCACCAGACTCCCTACTAGACAATGATGACGTCATCTTTGTCAACCAAACTAGCTGCCAGACAGGTAGGGAGGTTTTGTTTTTTTTCTCTTTGTCTTTAGTTTGTGTTAAACATATTTTGGTCTCGATGAAACCGATGCATGTCTAGACACGGGAATTTCCTTCCACTCAGTAGCTGACACTGTAGTTAGTTTTGTGGCTCTTGCCTAACAGGGTTACATGATCAACATCCGCTCTTCTTCCTATTCACAGCCAGGATAGAGGAGATGAAACAGAGCCTCCTCAACAAAATATCCATTCTGGGAAAAGAACTACCTCTCAATACCTTGGACGAACTCATTGATAAGTTTGGAGGACCAGATAAAGTATCAGAGGTAAGCACCTTAGACGAAGAAACTCTCTGGCCCCGGGAATCTAAAAAGTTTCACATGTCACCACCTAAATAATGTTCATACACAAGCACAAACAGAATTTCTTTCAAAACATGGTAGGTAAAAGGGTAGGTAATGTATTTTAGAAACACTTTTGTTATATTTGTTGAGATTATCTTTACATCCCAACAGCAATCAATAAATCAAATGCTCTGACACAAAAAAGAAAAAAGATCCGGTATCTGTGGTTGTCACAGGACTGTAATAAGCACAGCATATCATATCATTTGGCCCGGATGAAATGATTGGGTGGCCCACCTGTCCGTCTAACTACCTACCTGCCTTTGTGCGAGTGGCTTTGGAGGAAGGCTTTTAGGGAGGGGATGGGATTTCTTCGGTTTGATGCTTCATAATCTAGCTGTCCTTTGCTAGCTCCTCCGACATTACCTACCCTATCTTTAAGCGAGAATGTGTTGAATCTTCTTTTTGCAGATGACTGGTCGGAAGGGTCGTGTGGTGCGGCGTCCTGATGGCAGCGTCCGCTATGAGTCGCGGGCTGAGCAGGGTCTTACCATAGAGCACATTAACATCAAGGAAAAAGATCGCTTCATGGCTGGAGAGAAGGTCAGCTACAGTCAATCAGACATATGTTTTGCATGTAAAAATTTACAATTGACTGGCTGCAAACAATCTGTATGTATGAAATGTACTGCTTTATAATAATCTCCACCAATAATCCAAACCTCGTTCTTCCAGTTGGTGGCCATCATCTCAGAGGCGGCCAGCTCCGGGATTTCCCTGCAGGCGGACAAGCGAGTTAAAAACCAGAGGCGCAGGGTCCACATGACCTTAGAACTGCCTTGGAGTGCAGACAGGGCCATTCAGCAGTTTGGTGAGTCGGGAAATGTAATTTTACAGTGAGCCTTTTAAATGTAAAGGGGAGTAAACACTTGAGTAACACTAAAGGTCAGGATAGAGTTGCTTCAGAGAGCCCTGCCTAGTTTTCTCTCTAATGTTTACGCTTAGAATTTCCAATTTAGGACAAAGGTTGTTTTGTCTCCCTGAAACAGTACTGGTTTTGAGGATGTGGTTGCTTTCTGTTATTCTAGTTAGTTTAAGTATGACTTGGCTCCAAGGCACAAGGATTTAGTTAAATATATGATCTGTCTCTTCTTCAGGCCATTAGCGAGTATTTTTGTATGCTGCATCTTACACATGCATGCGCACACACATACACACACACACACACACACACACACACACACACACACACACACACAGACAGTCATCATTATTTCCTCATAAGAGGACAGAGATTCTTCCATAGAATAACTCACACTGTTCAAAGAGGGGATCTCTGTCTAAAGATCAGATGTCACTTTAATATGCAGATCTTATGCATGTCACCAAGAATATTTACTTTTTACTTTTTTAGTATAAAACATTGATGATGCACAGATGAGATGTTGCACATAAACACAAATTTAAGTTGGTGTGGAAATGATTTCCTTGTTTTGTTGAAACATTTTCATTTATTTCATTCATCTGTGTGTGACTGGGTGCTGATCTTTGTTGTAAAAATTTGTATTGTAAAACAATGTATTTCAACTTAAAGGAATTAACTATGCACACTGTGAAATACACACATCTCTCTTACTGTTATCATCTTTTCCTTGTCTTTCCAGGTCGCACGCATCGGTCCAATCAGGTGACAGCCCCCGAGTATATCTTTCTCATCTCAGAGTTGGCTGGGGAGAGACGTTTTGCCTCCATTGTGGCTAAGAGACTAGAGAGCCTGGTAAATATCACAGCCTTTATAGATCTGTTTGTGTGGGTGTGTATGTTGTATCTGCTCTTCTTGTTTTTCACAATTTCTAGTCCCATATTTAATTTATTTCCTTTTTATCTTAGTGAAATCTGTCTCATAGGAAAATAATCCTTTTCAACTTGTTGTCTTATGGAGTGTGAGAAGAACTGCTCTGCACTAAACGGGATCTGTGTTTATTGATTGTTGTGCTCTGGGTTGCCGTTGACTGTCATTTGCACCCCTTATTCTGTCCTTCCTGTTTCCTGGGGTATTCCCTGGGCTAGAAGCTCTCAATAGAGTCCCTTTTATTGTAGGTTTGCTTGAAGTTACATCAACTTCTCCACAAACCTCAAGGGATTCTGGGTCTTTCCCTTTCTCCAGCTCAATAACGGAAAACTGAATAAGCAGAAAAAGTTAAGCAGCTTGTCTGGATAATTTATGAGTGTAGGTTTCTTTTCCATAATTATCAATGCATTTCAGCACTAGCAGTCATTTATTTCCATAGTGACACAGCATGACCGTTCTTTTGGGAAAAGGGCAAGGAGTGTGCAATGGGATGGCAGTTCCAGGAAGTCATTCCTGTGTTTGCCAGCTGTGTTCGGTAAATCTGCATCAACAATAGGTCACATCCCATCTGCCTGCCTGCCTGAACACGATACAACGCACGCACGCACGCACGCACACACACACACACACACACACAAACAGAGTTGCTTCAACTTAGAAGGCTGAATACTATTGCAACTGGCTGACTCCAGATCAGCAGTGAACTAGTATTTGGCTAAGACATCCTTTTGTTTTGGTGTCTCAAGGCATTTTTCTGTGTGGGCAGAGCGAGCAGCTGGCTACAAGACTAGATTGCTGTTGACTTTGCTTCTTCAAAATTTTCCTTTACCTCCCTCGCAGTTCATTTGAAATCTTAAAAGTAACGGTCACACGCAGGCTGGGATTTTTGATAATCCCAGCATTGAAAGTTAACTAAATATTGTGTTTGACCGATGTTTCTCTCTGTCTTCTTTTTTTTTCAGTTGTCTTCTGTCTCTGTGACTTTGATACTCAGGGCAGAGACCAGTCTATTGTGTTGAATACTGTATCTCTCATATTTAAAAGAGCAGAATTAATAAACGAAAAGGCTACAAGTCCTCGCTATCATCTGCTGTAAGATTGTAGTAATCATGTAATAACTGTATAGTCTTCATATTCATAGTTATCCTTTTTTTAATTTAGTTATAAAATTTCACGTTTACCCTCTTGTACCAAGGCTGAGCAGTAAAGTCAGGTTGGATATTGATGTTGGGTCATGATGATCAACAGCAAACAGAGATTTATCCCATGTCAGTGTGTCTGTCAGTATTAGTGTGATGATGCTCTGAATGCTCTGAAGGCTGTAAACCTAATACCGCTAATACTAATAATAATATGTTGCTAATCCACTTTGCAGGGTGCATTAACCCATGGAGACAGAAGAGCCACAGAATCCAGAGACCTGAGCAAGTACAATTTTGAGAACAAGGTACCCCCCCCTGAAAATAATGTCATGATATGAGTGTCAAAAATGTTTCATTAAGGTTTTTCTCACTTTTTAGTAGTATACAGGATTTCTTATGTTAAATGTTATTTTGCATCACTAAGTTGCTGAATGAGCCTTCTGAGAGAATTTGTCTTTACCTGTTACATGCCCTTTTTGTTGCAGTATGGTACCAAGGCTCTAGATAAAATCACCAAAGCAATCCTTGGCCACATAGAGAACAAGGTGCCCCCTCCCAAAGGCTACCCTGCGGGTGACGCCATGTTCTTCAGAGGTATGTTTGAGCTTTGTTTGACTGTCAGCATGTGTAAACGGAAAACAATTTCACCAGCACAACTTTTATAGCGATTGATGAGTTAAACAACTATATGTCTTTCTTTATTTCAGACATGAAGATTGGAATGATGGATGTGGGCATCTTTTGTAGGGAGCCTCGCTTTGGGATTAATACTGAGAAAGGTAGAGTACCCAAGAGGCATGCAGGCATATTTTACTTAAAATGAATATGTCGATCTAGGCCACCTACTTGACAGTTTTAACTCCGTTGTGTCCTGTGTTCATCTGTCAACACAAAACCGACTGCATTAACTGTTCTGTGTTGTGTCTTTATCCCAGACTGCAGCATCACCAAGTTCTTAAATCGCATCCTGGGCCTGGAGGTCCACAAGCAGAACTATCTCTTCCAGTACTTCACCGACAACTTTGACTACCTAATTGAGAAGGATAAGAAGGAGGGGAAATACGACATGGGAATCCTAGGTATGGAGATCAAGTGCTACTCAACACACGATTCTGTTTTAGGTTTTACATAAATCCACCATTGGTGATCTAAAATGAAAATGAAACGTCGCCCTAACCACCAAAAGAAAAAAACATTAGAATCTGCTTTTATTTTTTAAAATTGATTGACAGGCTTTTCAAATACACATTGCTGTATAGCAATGTAAGCTAATCAGTTACATCAGTAATGTTGTAAAAACAATTAGACATGTCGCTGTTCCTTTCTTCTGTTATCTGTCAACATATCTTAAATTGGATTGATTTACAATGCTTCCTAATCTTCTAATGTGAGTAATTATTGTAACCTTGTTCTTTTGGTGTCTGTGACAGACCTCGCCCCGGGTAACGATGAGATCTATGAGGAGAAGCAGGAAACTTTCTTGACAGTTGGAAACCCTCAGGATGGACAGGTGGTTCTCTATAAGGTAGGCACCTCATAACCTCATCTCAGGTTTATTGTTAGCTGGTTATCTGTATGTTGTACATCACCTGTGATTCACCTGTGTTGTGAGACTCACGAATCATTACAGTGGCCAGAATACCATTATTGTGTCATATCTTGAGTTAACCTGCGAGGTTCAGCTTTAGTTTTAAAGGAGCCAAAATAAGAATTGTGGAGCACAAACCAAGAGCAGACCCACGAAATTGTGTGGCCTAGAAAGATCTTGAGGCATTACACGTGACCTTCCTAATCTTGTTACAGAATGAACACTGCTTTGTTGTGCCTGCCAAGAAAGCTTGAGCATTAGGAACAAGAAAAGATTGTATGAATAAACATGATTCCAAAAAATGCAAATCTTGTTCTCATCTCTCTTTTTGGTGCCAGTAGACCAAAACAATGAAAAGTTCAGTTTAGTGGCAGGAAATACCAATCACTATGAATTTATTAAGATTTCCATGAAACGGTTTCCACTATGCACAGTTTTTGCATACAGAGAGACCTGGTACAACTGAAAGTTGCGCCTGCACTATGGGAGTTTTGATTAATGTTACTTTGCTAGCAGTAACACTGTGATCATTGCGGCTTAGTCCACGGTTGAGGAACCCATGTAGACACTAGTGGGAGGTGGAAACAGAATAATTACTGGTATCTTCTGCTTTTAGCTGTCAGCTGCAGGCTAACCTGCATTTGACAATTCAAAGTTAGCACCTGGGCAAAATGCTGCTCAGCTTGGACCAGTTTAGCATGTACAGAGATAGATTGTCAGGGACTGTCCAGGACTGTTTGGTTTCCCTTCTTTCACATCACATGCGTTAATCTAATGTTTTTTACCCATTGTAGATCAGTGTGGACAGAGGCATGCCCTGGGATGAGGCCTATAACAGGTCACTGAAGCTGAGTGGTCCCGATGATGGATTCTACCTGTCCCTGAAGGTGAGTTCATGTTATAATAAGCAAACTAAACCCGGGGTCTACTGTAAAAGGCACTGTATGTATAGGATTTCTCATTTGACACAGACCTCACAGAATAGCGATGTGATGGCAAAATGTGCTATCCACTGAAAAGATAATATTTTATGTCCTCTCTGCAGCTGCGAGGTAACCACCCATGTGTGCTGCTGGCTGAGCAAGGAAGAGGCAAGAACCTCATTGTTTACAAGCCCAACATTGGCAAGCAGGCCCACCCCGAGACCCTGGACAACCTGCAGCAACGCTACCGGAAGGTAACTGATTCGATTGTCTGTTGCTGAATCAGTTAGGCTAATAGCTGTGTCTGTATATTGGTCTATCAATACTCAATAATGTCCATCTAATGATTTAATGTTCATCTGTGATTTGGCTTAGTATATTGTCTTATGAGTATATATCTGTTGATTACATTACAACAGAAAAAGGTCAAGTATATAAAAAAAACATCTTGTGGTTATGGGGAAGGTTTGACAGAAGACGAAGCTGTACATTTTCAAGACTTTCCTCTTGATGTGCAATTGTTTGTGGTGTATATGTGGAGTGTGATGCCCCCCTGTGGCCACGGAAGAGTAATGAACAAGGCAATGTTCAAGACACCCTAGAGCTGAACAATGTAGCAATATATATTGAATTCAGTTCAATTGAGTGGGGCTTTATTGGCATGGCATTGTCGAATAGAAACATGTACATAAACAGGAGAAGTGTGCTAAAGTGCGCAAAAGTAAAATGTTTCTCTTCCCAACATGAACAACAGGGTGATAATTAATGAACTTTCACCTAGTCTAGTAAACACGATAGTCATTTTCTCGTTGACACATGAGATGATGAAACTATGACGTGACTCTCAGTTGGAAGTTAAAGACATTTCTTTATTGCTAAAGTTTCTGCGCAATTGTGTTGCATCAGACTGTGGTTATGATGAGTCCTTTGCTGATTTCGGTGTTGTACATTTTCCAGGTGACTCCAGAGGAAGCCCAGGACAGCTGGGAGAACCAGTTCACCTTCTCCTTCAAGAAGTGTAGCCATGCCAACTGGTAAGTAGGGAATCCACAATGTCCCTTGGGATTAATGGCTCAATGCATCCAATCAGGCTGCTACTTATTAGGATTCAGTCAGGGGGGTTTTAAGACCAGATGCCATTCCAAAGGATTTGCAGATCACCTGAGAACTAGTCATGAAGAAATAACCTCACAAGTGCCTTTGTCACCAGATGAGCTGTTTAAAGTGCTAGGATGGAGCCGTCCTTCAAACTGCCATACATATTTCCTGATAGAGGGATTTACAGGGCTCTTTTGTTGTATGCATAAATATTTGACTTTTTGTACTCTGTCTCTTTCTCTAGGAACGGGAAGTGTAAGAAAATTGAGGAGGGCCAGGAGTGTCTGCAGGGCATGCGCCTCCGTCAGTACCACATGTTGTGTGGCGCTCTGCTGCGTGTGTGGAAGCGCGTATCGGATGTGGTGTCTGATATCACCAGCTCCAGTATCCTGCAGATTGTTCGCCTTAAAACCAAGCAGCACAACAAGCAAGTTGGTCAGTACATCCCCCCGACACAAGTGACATGTAGTCCACTAACACAGTGCACATTTTACTGGCTTATAGAAGATCTCTCACACTGGTAGGAATATTCTGTAAATACTGATAAAAGAGTTTGCTCTAGGCCAGAGTTGCAAAATGTGAAATCGATTTGCCAGATGTCAGTGAGTTGTTTTGATGGTAAAACGTGATGCTGTGAAAGTGCTTTTTGACAAATTGAGGAAATCAAATTGATGCTTACTTTCCTTATTTGTCTCCTATGAACTCCAGTTAGTACTACATTGATGCTGACACTTCTGAAATTATTAGGCCAGAAACACTGAACATGTTGCAATGCAGCTTGACATCCATGGAAACCCAACAGCACGAGGACGCTCACTGGAGATTCAGTGTCTGCTCTGTTTTCTCAGTGCGCTACAAAGATTTTACAAAGACGTGAAAGTTTTATTTATTTATTTTATTTTAATTTTTTTAACACACACACAAACACACATACGCTTTAATTACTTTCCGCTTTAATTACTTGTTTAATGAAATGTTTGGGGTTGATTGTTCTTATGTAGTTTGTATGATGCTTTGGCAATATTGTTGTTATACATTCATGCCAATAAAGCTAATTTGAATTGAATTGAAAGAAGAATAAACTGTAGATGTGTGTGTTTATGAAATGTTTACTGTTGTAGTGATATCGCCTTTAAATGAACTGAAATGATCATTGTAGAATATCTGGTTTTGGATGATTGCATATTTTGAAAAGTCTTTGGTTAAAGCAGTTCATTTGTTAAAGCCTTGTACCTCACTGATAACGGGCATGACCGTACTTTTCATCTCTCCCAGGTATCAAGATCCCCGAGAACTGCGTGGCCCGCGTGCGCGAGGAGCTGTTGCTAATGGACGAGGAGGTGAAGAGGAGACGAAAGGAGAGGGAGCAGCAGGCAGCGGACAAGCGACTAGCTGAGGAGCGCATGCGTAAAATGGAGCAGGACAACAAACACCTCCTGGCAAATCTGTTCAGCCAGGCACCCATGCAAAACCAGTCTCTTGCCCAGTCTCTCGCCCAGAGTCAGATAATCAAACAGAAACTAAACCAAAACGCTCTACAAAGGACACAAACTGGGAGCCTGCATCTACAGAGAATACAAGCGCAAACCCAGTCCACTTTACAGCAGCCCTCCCAGAACTTAACCCTGTTGTCCTTACAGAGAAACCCCAACCAAACCCAGCAAAGGACCCATAACAGCTGGCCCATCAATTCCACCACCACCAACCAGGGCCCTCTACCCAACACGTCTAGCCTCGCCTCCAGTTTGTCCCAGTTTTACCCCCAGAACTTTCTGTCCCCTTTTCCTCAGCTGAAGAATCCGTCTCTTTCACTCTATCAGACCGCAGTGTCTCCCAGCTTGTCTTCAAAGACTAGCCTGGATGATATCTTGGACCTGACTATGAGCTCACCATCCCCCTCCCCAGACAGCACAGAGGGTGGACTGCATCTGGACGGCCTGACAGGACACACTGCAGGATTCGGAGATGACTTTAATATAGACTCTCTGATCTCTCAGAGTGCACCGAATGGCCAGCACGCTGCACAAATGCAGCAGCCTCTTTTGTTACAGCAGCAGCAGCAGCAGCAGCAACAGCAGCAGAGCCACAACCTGCTGGCCAATAACCACCACCAAGACTTATTAGCTTTTTTTGACTTGCCCCTGTCTCCCCAGATGACCACACAGAAAGCCAGCCCTTCATCCTCTACCTCTTCCTGCTCATCCTCCACGTCCTCCACCTCTTCTGTGTCAAACAACCTGGTTTCTCACGTCTCCGCCAGCCACCTGCCCACATCCACCCTCATCCCAACATCGTCCTCCTCGTCTTCTCTCTTCTCCAACCCGTCCTCATCCTCCTCTCTGTTTTCCAACAACTCCTCTCACTTCCCGTCCGCCTATCTCCTCCCCCAGTCAGACACCCTTTCGTTACCCAACGGCCACTGCAGCCCTGGCGCCCTTGACGTCCGTGAGGCTCTGAACAGCATGCTACAGGCGGGCCCGGACCGCAAGTCTGTCATTCAGTACCTGCAACAAGACTAAAGCGCTTCAACAGCAACAGCTCATCTGGACTTTGTTTTTCTTTAGGTATTTTTTTTTTGTTTAGTCTTTTTAAAGCATATTGTGTCTTGTTCGCTGCTGTCTATGATCGCACCCCCGGACCTACTCCCTCTCCCCTCAGGGCCTATAGTCATGTCACTGCCTGTCCTGCGCTCGGCTCACCCTTCTCTCTATCCACCTGTAGCGTTCACCTGCTTGAGGCTGTTGAGGTGATGGCGGGCTCGATCAATATCAGATTTCTGCTCCAAAGTGTGTCATCTACAGTGAAAGGCAGCTGTGTTTAAAAAAAATAAAAATAAAATTTAAAAAAAAAGGAAGCAAGTGAAAAAATAACATAACTGTATTTTATTGAACATACGAGCTGTCAAAACAAAAGCTCATTCTTTGAGGTGTGGAAAATCTTTATTAAACCTCCCGCTGCTGATGTTACGAGGTATGATTGGTGAAGTTGCTGGAAGCTCTAAATGCCTTTCACCACATCTTTCAACTTTGCTTTACTGTTACTTCGCTTCATGGCTGTTTGTCTTGACTAAAACAAGGCTGTATGCAAGGCTTGGTTCGAGTGAAACAAAAGATAGTGTTGAACTGGAAGATGAGAGAAAAACAGATAAAATCTTGTAGCTGATTTGCCATGAAATGCCTCAGTTTTCTGTTTTTTTTCTTCTACATGCTCCCTCTTGTTTCTCTCCCTGCTTGTATGAACACTAGTGTGAGGGAAAAGGGAGATGAAGAGCAGTCTGCTGTTGCAAACAGTGCCTTTGGAAAAATCTATAAATGCAGTCTTTAAAAATCTATGTAGCCTAATGTATAGATTTATACTCTTGAGCATTGGTTTTAATTTTATTTTAAATATGGTATATTTGTATTTAACTTTTAGCCCCCTCAGTTAGTTAGTCAGTCATTGTTTGGGTTACACTATGCTGGTGGTGGGTTTCAGGAAGAAGCCTCCATTAAGCCTGTATGTGCTTGTCTGATTATCTGACTTGTCCTTTTTCTGTGTCCTTCTGTCCCTGTTGATATGAGGTCGGTATGGCACGGATTATTGAGTAGCATGGATAAAAAAATGTGTCCAAAAAATTTTATCACCCTTTTTTAAAAAGCTGACAATAACATTTAGTGATGTGACTCCTGGTTTGATTTGATTTTGAATTTCTCAGGAAAGTCTCAAGTGCGTTGTTGTTGTTGTTGTTGTTGGGGTTGGGGTTTTTTTTGTGTCATTTTGACCAACACAGATTTGAAATTTTCTTTTAAGTCTAGAATTTCATGTTTTTATTGTCTGGAGATCTGAAAGAAAATCCTGTTGTTTTTAACTAAAACTTTGCTTTGATAATGGCAGTCTGAGACAAATTTCTCATTAAAACTGTTTCCAATTCAGGCGTCACGGCTATAAAAACATTTGAAATGTGTAGACTTGTCATGTTCGCTGTGTATGATAGTACATATTTAAAAACCTGTGAGATCTGGCCATGTTTGTGTGAAAAGGATGCACTGTAGTTGGTCCATGACAAAATGCCGGGATAAGTTCAAGCGATTAAAAAGCAATAAAACCATATTCTACATTTGTTATGATACATACATGCCTAAGTACTGTTTACGCTCAACAGGCAAAGCTTTGTGGTTACCTTTGCATACCTATGAATCTTCTGTTGTGCTTCATAGTATTTTAGTTGACCAGATTTTGAAATGTATACAACCTTTGTGTAGTAAGTTTTCACGGGATGAACGCAATGCGTTCTTGATGTTTTAGTCATCGTTATTATTAAAGTTATTGTTATTTATATTTAAGGGATATTTAGATTTTAGGTATGTTATCCTGCTTATTAGAATAGTTAATGAAATGTTTGGTCAGGGAAGTTTCTAGTGTTCAAGATTACTATAAAACAAATTCTATTATAACCTGCCACCAAATACGATTGCACTGTTCTATACTGCTGTACAGTGTCTGGATTCATTTCTGCTCATTTCAGTTTCGCTTTTCTCAACTAGAACTGTTTCTCCAACTTGTAGACCTTTTGTCAGGCCTTCAGTTTGCAGAGAGATACCAAAGTGTTCCACGGGCACCCCCAAAAGTTACTGGCTCTAAGAAATCAGAACTTTTATCAATCTCAGGAAGAAACCTACAGGAGGTGTAACGGCGGGGCGTTAGCAGAAATATATCATATCCCCTTATGACAGTGGTGAAACTAACCAATACATGTGCTATTTTTTCTAAAGTCTGTGCTGTGACTCTTGCTGTATTTATGTTTTAGACTTAATGTGATGGGTTTGCTGTTTGTCCTTGTGAAAATGTCAGTGATTCTACATGTTTATGCCTTCTTAGGGCAAATATGAAAGGCTGTTTCTTTTTCAGGAACACTCTTTTTCTGTGGACAGTTTTATTTGTGTTGCAGTTGTTGGACATCTAATTCATGTTAAAGCTGACAGAGTTTCGAATCGATTCACACCTAGGTTATACTGATATGTGCAATTGATCTGTCCAAGCCTTTAGCCCTCCTCCCTCAGTGTAACCGATGTTTAGGTTTAGACTGACTCACAGTATCTCAAATTCTTGTTAATGCTTTCATTTTTTTCATTTGCAGCATCTTACTCTTGCGCGTTTTACTCGTACCTTCATTAATTTTGCTTTTTAATATTCCACATCAGGCACATTCCGAGACATCAATCAATCAATCTGCAACAGATTTGCCTTTGATTTTGTGTTTTATAGTCACACAAATAAAGCTTTATGCATTTGAGGGACATGGACCGCATTTCTAGGAAGAAAAGGTTTCTTTGTTTTTTTTTTGGAATCCTTCATGCGTATAGTTAGGCCTCTTATCATTTTATTATCCTTTTGCACTAAGAATGGCATAATCAAGTTACTGTTCTCTTGTTGGTTATGATTGAGCGTTGCAAGCTTGTGTTTCTGAACTTTGATGGATAGCTCTGTGTATACTGTAACCATATCTCTTGGTTCTACAACATATTATATGTTATCAACGTTATCACTCAAATAATTTATTGCTAACAAAAAATGAAACAAAAAACATGCTACTGATTGTATGTATTTTTAAACAAAGCCTATTTTTTCTGTAAAAAAAGAAACTGTGTTCAGCACTTTTATTCTGGGTTGTGCTTTTGTTTTCTATATATTTATAATTTAGATCCAAATGTATATATTGTAAAATTTGTGCCTTTCAACTAATTCTTTAAAAAAGGTTTTCTACTCATTTAAGGAAGGACTATATGAAATTGCAATCTTAACTTTGTAAACAAATAAAAACTTGAAGATTGCTGAAACAGAGTCTTTTGTTCATCTGGGTTGTCGCATTTTTTCCACGCCTGGTTTAGGAAAAGCACTTTGTTGAAACTGCTGGAGGTTTCATGCAGGGTTCATGTAGGAAGAGGCAGCGTGTGTGACGTCTCGCCTCATTCATTTGAACAACGTAACATGAAGAGGACAGACTGAAGAGATAAAATAGAGCAGAAATAAAAAGCGGAGGTTGAACTGTAACTCTAAAAACATCTGAACTCAGCAGCCAACAACAAACAATATGGACATAACTAGTTTCTGATGTAGGGCAGTGTCACATGAAACATGAGCATTTGATGAATGTCACACAGCCATGGATGAATTACTGAGCACGCCTACAGGATACAGACCCGGGGGCCCTTCTTAGAGGACTGTTATTAATATGTCTTGCCATAGAGACAAAAGTCAGTCTGAAAAACATGTTCACTTTGAACTTGTCATGACAAACACATTTAGTGGACTTTCTACATAAATCAGTTTTACAGTATCATTAATAAAGTTTTGGCAGCCCTTTTTAGTTGTCTTTTTCAGTGGTGGACAGTAAGTACCTAAGAACAAATTAGAGGTATTTGTACTTTACTTGAGTATTTTCTTTTCATGCCACTTTCTACTTCTACTCCACTATATTTCAGAGGGAAATATTGTACTTTAAACTTCACTATCTGACAGCTTCAGTTATTGGTTACTTTAAAAATTAAGATTTTTACATACAAAACATATGAAGAGGGTTTTTTTTTTAAAAACTGACGTTTTGTTATAAATTAAACTACACAACAGTTTATACAAGAAGTGGAGACCGGGTATGGTTTTAACACTTTTTGCTTCAGCAACTATAACTCACTGAATTTTGTAGCTAGAGTTCTCAATCTTTTATACAAAGTACCCACATTTGTTCACTGCAAATGGCATCAATTAATTCAATCCTCTACAAGAATATCACAGACCTTGTGAGCTGATGTCAAACACATTGTGTTTGACATCAGCAAAAATAGATGCCACACCATATGATATGCTTCAAAAACAGGTAGTGAAATAAAAGAACAATGTTTCACTGTCTGATGACTCGCGCACATGTACAGTATGTGTATGTAAATTTATCTATAGAATAAACTTATTAACAGTATACTTAATAAATACTACTACAATGTACTTAATTAAAGAACATCTTTGTACATCCTTAGATCTAACAAAAAAGAAGTGTGTCTATGTGTGTCAATGTGTGTATATTCTTAATCAGACTCACAGTCGGATCCGGATCGGATACTGAAATGATCACATAACTCCTATCTTATCTCTTATTGGTGGAATTGGTGTTGTTACAACTCTCGCCATGTAACAACCATACCCGGTCTCCCCTACAGCTGAAACGATTAGTTGATTGACAGAAGTTTTAGTGGCACCTGTCAATAAAATTCTGCCAATTCTGTCATGTCAACAACACTGGCAAACAAAACAATACCAATTGTACTTTTTACTTTTTATGCTTAAGTGTTTTTAAAAGCAGGTACTTTTGTATTTGGACTCAAATAGAAATTTTGATTGAAGACTTTAGTGGAATAATATTTAGCAAGGGTATCTGTTCTATACAGGATTTGTGTACTTCGTCCCCCACTGTCTTTTTTAAATAAAGACATATGTTGTGCCATCAAGTCAATTACTCATTTGTGTTGAATTAAAATTACTGAAGTGAAACATGCCTCTTGTGGCAACCAAAACTGGGAGGAGAACTTATTTACAAGGGGGACCGACTTCCTGTTGGTGACGCAACACTTTCGTGATGACGTCGTGAAACTCACCTGCACGTTGAGGCCGTCAACGCCACGCCTCCGCACCTGTGTGTTCCGGAAGATTTAAACAGTTGAGACAGAAGATGAGACAGTTGTCTAATTACTGGAACAGTCAACGCCAACAAGTGAGACTTTAAAGAGATTTTTGTTTAGGCTACTTGGGAGTACTCGTCTGAGAGTGACGGACACACGAAGAGCCAGTCACAGGTACGTTAGCGTCACTGCTGTCAAACGTTTCCTGGTATACAGGTGGAGTATGGGGGGGGGGGGGGGGAGTCGAAGAGAGAACATTTTGAACAAGTGAGACCTTTTTATCAAAGTAATTTAAGAGTAATTTAGTGTAAATTAGACGTCACCTCAAGAAGATTAAGCAGTTAGCCACGGAGCTTTTCAGCATTTACAGGCCCACAGTTTATTTACAGGACTGAATGCCTAATAGCTTCATTCATTATTCCTTCATCAGGATTTGGCTGTGGGCAAACACAAGTCTAAATGTCAGCTGTGGTTGTTGTCATGCTGTGGTTTACTGCATTTACAGGGTATTTGATTGGATTACTCAGCTGTTTATGGCATTGGTGTGTCTTCTCATTTGTGTGTGTATGTGTGTGACTGTCACTTGCAATGCCCACTTTCCTCATCCTCACCTTACTGGTTCTGCCACACACACAAGTTTCTACCTGCCTGCCAGAGAGTTTCACAATAGTTTCGGCTCTGCATTCCCAAACAGCTGCGTCTTCCCTTTCCCTTGACCCCAATCGGTGTATATACTGATAAGGCTGTTTGATTTTTAAAGGATGACCCAATGCATTGAAACGGTAAAAGCTTGCTGTCCTGGAAAGTTCCCTGTGACATGAGAAATTTGAGTCCCAGCTTTTTGGCTCTAGTTAAGTCTGTTTGTTGTTTTTCTTCTTTTTTTTTCTTTCACTTAAATCCTGAATGTATTGAAGCATTCATGATCATAGGTTTCTGTCAGGAACCATCATCTGCATTGTTGCAGTCAGACCTCCTTGAAGAGAGCAGTGTGTTTGTGTGGGTGATATGGACATTAACAATTCTGTCCCGAGCAAATCAAAGCACCTCCTCACACTGATGCTGTCCAACAAATATGCATAATCAAATTAATTATGATTAATTCAGATTAATTTATTTCTATTGTTATTTGTTACTGTTAGACAGAGGTTATATGCTAGAGACTGTGAACAACCCTCTCCATTACCCTCCAGGTAGCTTTACGTTACACATGGGGCACTTGTCATAGTCTAATTGGTTCAATCTGAAACAACACCAAGCATGAAATAGCATTTGTTCTGTTTATTGTTTAAAGTGTTATTCATGAAGTTCTTTTTACGACATTATGATAAAGAAGCTTTTTTTTGCATTGATTCTGAATTATTAGAGTGGATCAAAGTGCATCTATGAATGAGTTTTCCTTAGTGTTTTTGCGCGTGTGCTTCCACATACACCAAGTGAAGACATGTGTATGGGATGTCCAGGTAGCTATAAAGTGGGTGTGTGCAGGACTTAAACACTGTTGACAGTACATGACAGTACTCCACTGTGAGTGAAGTCTACAAAGCCCTGGCCTGTGTAACTACAGCCACTCTGCGAGCTGTGTAAACCTCTGGAGTATTTGTCTTTCAAATCTCCATCCTAACACAGGAAAGCTTTGCAATTCTTTGTAAACCACGAACCACTATATGTTCAAGTCCATTCAAGGCTTTATGTCTGTCGCAGTCATTCATATTTATTAGAGTACCTTCTTTGCATGACACGCTGTTGAAGAATTCCAGCTATGAGACTCACAAAAAGTAGGCCTCTGTGTTGATAGTGAAGCTTAGCTCTTTGCTAAAGAGTGCTACGACAAGGTACTCTGGAGTTGGTAGTTCGCTTGTTGGTTCGGCCAAGAGGAGTGGCCTTAGCTTAAAATGAAAGAAACGCAGCCTCTGAGGTGACTGCTGAAAGACTGAAGTCCTGACTCATGAATAAGTGATTATTAACCTGCTAGACGGGGCACACCTTAGCGTGTTTGTTTTAGTAACTGTAGTGTTTTTTGCTGTTGTCCTCATACCTATTAAATATTCAGCACTGGTGCCCTGGCTGACCAGATGCCAGCTGCTCCAGCGGGCTGAACCCAAGCCAGCGATCTTGCATCTGTGATTGAGCTACCATGTACTTTCAAACTGGTAAATTTGTGTAATCCAGCCACCAATCTGCTGTGAACATTCTCTGGTTTAGTATTTTATAAGCTTAGTTTAGTACTGTAATCGCTTTCTGTACACCCTTTAGGTACTGCTCCTCCCCTTTGTGCTTCCGCTTCCTAAACAGGTCACTGTAGCCTTGACATTGCAGGGCACTGATAGCCGGAGTCAAACAGAAAAAGATTGCAGCACAGCCAGCCTTTAGGGAGTGCATAACTGTTTACCACGAAGGAGAGATGCCATCGAAGCTCTGTGTTGCCAGAGTGCCATTTCCTGATCCCCAAACACAGCAGGGTATGTGGAGGAACCCAGGAAACTTTACTCGGGGCAGGCAGACCTACAGTGTAGCAAACACACCGTCAATTATTTACAGCCCAGTGCTCTCATTCCCCCGACGTAACCATAGCACCGAGCAGAAACTCAGCCGGCAGCCTGGGACCTGCTGCTGCCCTGTGGGAAAGAGTACAAGTTAACCAAGACGCACACAAACCTCTGACAGTGGGAGCAAGTGGACCTATTTGACTTTATGAACCCGTCAGGAAGGATGTAATTGACGATAGAGATCATTACTCTTGAGGGATGGACACATGACCTATCTGTTTGAAGCACAGGAATGTCGATTTGTCCTCTGGCTGTGGCCTCTTTCTGTGGATTGATTGTATTTTGGGGACCTGCCTCAGTGACTGTTTGTGGCTAAGATACAGACTACATTTACTGCCCTGCACCGACCCCTCTGGAGTTTTGTATGCGTTGTTATCAGCGAGACCAAAGTGACTGAGTTAGTCAGCAGGGTTTTTTTCTTTTCTTTTCTTTTTTTTTTTTTTTAAACAAAAGACCACAACACACCGTTATCATGAATGTGACTCAACGAATGAAACTACTGAAGCACTTTGGCTCTGTGCCTCCGGAGCCGCCTCCACCACTGCTGGTGGTGCCTGTAAGTGGATGGATTGTACTGTAGCAACAAGCTGTATTCTGTCCAACCTCTTAATACTAGCGTCCTCTGTCTGTGCTGCTATAGTCCATGTTTGTGTGTCTTCATTTATTTGTATCGCACTAGAGCAGTTTGTAGTTACTCTTTTATAGTTACAGCAGCAGTGAAATTCGTCAACCCCACAGATCCTGTGTATGTTTTTTGCCCAAGGTCTAGTTAAGCCCATAGAGCATTACTTTTCATTTTAGTCCGTATTGTAATGTGATTATTCATTTCATATTATTATAAAATTAAGCCTCAACATCACATAATAAAATCCAGTGGTCTATCAGTCTGACTTCAAGTGCTGTAGGGGTTTGGCTAAATTAAGATAAAAGATAACTTGCAATTACAATTTTGACATTTATCAAGTAAATTATTACCAAATTAATTAGAAAAAAAACATTAATGGAGTGTGAAAATATTATTTGCACACATTGCCTTTGAATTACATGGAAATGTGTATAAAAGTTTGCATAATACATGATGAGTTTTGCATTTCAGTTGAGGTTTGGAGTAAGCAGTGGCAGTAACTTTATGTATAAAAAAAAAAAAAAATGGTTTTCTTACTTCAAAACTTCCAACTTAGAATTTTATTTTTACCCTTTAATTTCAGAAAGTCATGTTTGTAGCATCTGGAATTGGCTAAAATTCATCACTTTAGACGGATGCAGGACAGCAGACCACTGTGATCACAGTGCTACTCGCGTTTAAGAGACTTTGCTCTTCTGAGGGGGGTTTGTGTAAGGCAGTGCAGCTCCACCTTTAGATCCATGCTTGTTGAAGGGCACTAGTGATTGTGGGAGAGGGCAAAGGCTGGGTGGGGGAGGAGCGCTGCAGGTGAGATCTATCCTAGATGATTTTTTTCTTCTCTCCCCACTGAGAGAGAGAAACACCACAGCTGGACAGATTTCAAATAATTTCAGCAGGAGGATCTGGTTTCCAACATCCTTGCAATCTGACGAGGACGTAACTTGGATAACTGTGGGATCTGTGATTGTTTTGCTTTTTGGTGCTGCCATATGGAACATAAAGAGCTGGCTGTTCATTGACCGCCAGAGGCCACAGGTGTTTTGTTACGCTCAGAAATCCCAGTGGGAAATGGAAGTAAGGTTTAAAGACCACGTGGTAAGTGGAGAGGGAGGAAAACTAAGCATTAACAGTATACCACTGCCTGAAAGTACCTAAAACATGCCTGTTAAAAATCAACGAAGGAAATAAATGATTACTGAACGAGCCCCCAGCTAAATGTTCTTTAGAAGGACTGCAGGCTCACATCAGTAGACTGTAAAGGACTGTCATCCTTGTCTTGACCTTTCTTGCTTTTTTGGCTGAATTTAATTGAATAAACATCAGATTTTTATGACCTTTTGCAGCGCATTTATATAGGTAGGGGACTAAGCTTATGACTGATTCATGAGATGATTTTCAGTGGCGACAGGCATTGCAGAGTCCTGAGGATGCATATTTTGTTTCTTTAGCTTCAGTGGTGGATGAAGATTGAATATGTGTCAATCCTGACTTTTGGATTTTCTGTTCAGCGTTGACATTATCGTCATGTGCTACACCCAGAGTTAAAGTTTAACCAATTGTATCACCAGTGTGCTGTGATTCAGCACCTGTTTGAATATAGGTCTGCTTAGCACTTCAGTGTTGCAACAGTATGTTGACAAAGTTGCCCTCTCCAGTTTTCTCATGAAGTTGTTTCACAATCGTGTTTGCTCTTTGTTCATCATTAGATTCAGTCAAAACCTCCAATACCTTATACCTCTAAATATCCTTATTTGACTTTTTTGTTCTGGTAAGCTAACTGCAGTGAAATTACAGATCAAACAGGTTAACGCCTTCTGGTTTCTGTAAAACACTAGCTTGGCATGCAGCCAGCTTGTATTTGAGTCATCAGGTCAGTTGCTGTGTCTCCCCTCCCCCCTCCTCAGGTTTATGATTAACTCGGTCAAACAAATGCTCTACTTGTCACAGGTCACACACGGTACACCTGTGTGCTTGGTTACCTCCAACAGCAAGTTTAACATTTTTGTGGTGCTCTTGTGAGATTTCTACCTGTTAATGATTAGTGTGGGTTTTTTTTCTTTCTGTTTTTAGTTCAACTTGATTAAAATACTGTATCCTTGCAGGTTCAATTAATTCATGTTTTCTTTTTAGATGACAGTACATTGGATAAGTGGCAGGTGTTTGTTCTTTCCTTAAAGTTGTAAATGTCACCTGTGTTTCAGTGTTAATGCATGCCAGTGCTTTGTACTCGTTGTGCGACCTGCATTTTCTACCCTGGTGTTTGAACAAACTCCAAGCCGTTTCTATCACTTACAGTATGTCTCTGACTACAGTATCTGGCTTCAACCGTTTTCACTATAACTCTGCATCTATCTTCCTCTCTTCTTCGTTCTGTGATAATGACTGTTTTGATGTTTTCCAGTCAGGGTTTCGACCACCCCGCAGCACTGAGACTGCTCTTGATAAGGTCTTCAATGACATCCACGTAAACACAAACACTGGCAGAATTTCAGTCTTGGTATAATTGAAACTTGTCTATGCATTTATGTTCAGTACTGTAACAGTGTCTTTACAGGTCTCTCTAAAATAAATCGATCAAGCAACTGCAGCTGATTCAGAATGCTGCTGCTCGAGTCCTCCCTAAGACCAAAAAAGTGGATCACTCCAGTCCTGAGGTCTTTACACTGGCTTCTTGTCTGTGGTTCTAAAATACTGCTGTTGGTTTATAGAGCATTGAACGGTTTATGGCCAAAATACATTTCTGATCTTCTGCTATGTTATGAACCATCCAGACCTCGCAGGTCATCGGGGACAGGTCTGGTTACTGTCCAGAGAGTCAAAAGTAAACATGGAGAGCGTTCAGTTTTTCTGCACCATATATCTGAACAAACTCCCGGGAAACTGCGGGTTTGCTGAAACGCTCAGTTCTCATGTGACTTGAGGGTGTGAATGACCCGTTTCCATATTGCTCCTAGATGCCGTATCCACTAACTAGGTGACCAAAGGGTCTTTGAAGAAATATCCTGGTGGTTTTGAAAATGTTCACAATCTTCAAACCAAGCACAGAACTGAGTACTTGACTGTCTACAAATGCTCTACTATTTCATCACCAGGCTCCGGGGCTGAGCTATTTTTCTGTTTACAGAGAGTCAAACATAGAAACGTGCCATCTAGAGCAGGCTCAATGTCAAGAGGGAAAATACATTTCTCTAGAGCTGCCACAATTGGTTGGTTGATTGATTAGTAAATCGACAGAAAATGAAACTGGAACTCTTAACATTATCAAATAATTGTGGTGTTTTTTTTGTTTTTTTTTAACATGCTGGTTTGAGGTTCCCAAATGTCAGAAAGTGATATCTGTGAATATTTTGTGGGTTTGGGCTGACAGCTGTGTGGAAATAAGACATTTCTGACATTTTATAGGACAAACTGTTAATCGAGAAAAATATTGTGAGGTTAATCAACCCTGAAAATTACAGTCCGTTGCAGCGCCAGCCCTGTTTGTCTTTATGCAGTGTTTTTGTGTTTACACTTACTGAACAAGCTCCTGGTGTTATATATTGGCAGCACTGCAGGAAGTTAAGAGCTCACACACACATAACAGGGAGCCCCTCCTCCATACCGGTCAGGCAGGATTCAGACAGGTGAGAGCATGCTGAGATCATTTGACTCGTACACACTTACTGCTCGGCACAGCCTCAACTGTCCACCCTGTAATGACCCGGATTATGTATATGGATTAATTATTTATGACTTTATTATCACATTGTGAGTGTATACAAATAAGTTAAATTAATCATTTGCTAGAGCATACATTCATTCTCATCATTTGTTGTTTGTTTTTTTTCCCCCTTCCAGAAACCAGGTATGGAGGAGCTAACAATATGGGAGCAACATACAATAACACTAAACAAAGTAAGTTGTTTATGAAATAACTGTATAATCAAACTAAAGTAAACTTGAAGTGCAGAGCACTTTAGCATTGGTGCAGAAATGGTGTTTGGTCTGTGCTCAGTGGCTGCACAAATACATAGAAGTGAAAGTTGAGCCTCGAAGTATGGCACAGAGGCTGTTTCAGCATTGTGTCCGCGGGTATTGTTGAAGGGCTTGCGGGGGTTGAGCTGGACCTGCGCTTCATACCTCTCAGTTTCACAGCACGGACTCCAGCAGGAATTCATGGCGACACACCCTGCTGCACCCCACAGCACCAGCTGCCTCTTTACTATCCTGCCTCAGACTCAGCGCCGCTGGAATGTGCTCTTTGTCCCTCTATCTCTCTACTGTATCTCTCACACACACACTCACACTAAATGTCCTGCATTCTTTCTCTTCATTTATGCTCGTCTTTCATGTATTTGCTGTCATTTTCTGTCCGACTAAAAACCTTTTTCTTTTCTTTTCTCTCAAATGGCAGGATTCCAAACTGGGGTTTGGCTTTGCCATATCAGGAGGCAAGGACAAGCCTCACCCAGACACTGGGGACACAACTGTGGTGGTGTCCGATGTGCTGCCAAATGGACCAGCCATGGGACGACTGTTGTAAGTTTACTACCCTTGAATTGTTTAAGACTTGACTGTTTTCATTAAAAAAACAACACCACATGATCTGATGTTTGCTTGTGCTCTGCAGCACCAAAGACCAAATTGTCATGGTCAATGGCGTGTCTATGGAGAATGTTTACTCTAACTACACCATTCAGACCCTCAAGTCATGTGGCAAAACTGCGAATGTAGTGAGTATGGAGGAAGCGCCAAACAGAACCCCTAAATTCCTTCTAATCTAGGATGTATTTCTGCTCAGTCGTGTCTCTAAATCTCTGGTGTGCTCTGTCCCATAACCCCCCCACCCACCCCCACCCCAAGACAATAAAACGCCCTCGCAAGATACAGATCCCAGCAACCTCCAGACCGTCTCGGGCAGCCTCCCAATCCAACCTGCTGGACCAGGACCCTCCCAGGCTAATGCGACGCTACTCTGACGGCAGCGACAACCGAGATAGCAACCGCTACCGTTCTACGCCCGAAGGTAACGGGTATGGAAACACGCTACCGCTGATGTCGACGGGGTACAAGAAGCTGCCACGTCAGGACGTTGCGGAAAAACCCATCAAAACTACCCTAATTAAAAAGAAAATCACAGATGGTAAGATTTGTGGAACGAGGGAAATTTGAAATTTGAAATTTGTTTGCCCTGAAGTACTCATGGGGAGATTGCTGAGTTCTGATTGGATTCCTGTTCTCTTACTCTGTCTGCAGAGTATGGATTGAAGCTTGGCAGTCAGATCTTCATCAAGCACATGACTGAAACAGGCCTGGCTGCAAAGGAAGGAACGCTGCAGGAGGGAGACCTCATTCTCAAGGTGAAAATGAACATTTAGACTCCTGCAAAATGTAGCACAACAGATTACTGTACGTTTTTGGATATTTTTTGTTTTTAAACTTTATTTTCACATTAAATGATTTGTCTCCTTCGATAAGATCAATGGCATGACGACAGAGAATCTCTCCCTGCTGGAGACCAAGCACCTGGTGGAGAAGAGCAGGGGCAAACTGACCATGACTGTCCTCAGGGACAACCGCAAGTTCCTGGTCAGCATCCCAGAGGTGGAGGACAGCGCCCCCAACAGCGAGGACGACCACCGCCAAGACAGCAGCTCTGAACTGGAGGGTGAGGGATGGAGATGGAGAGGGCAGGGAGGGAGTGGGGTTGAATGTGAGCATGGTGGGCTTAGGTGAGAGTACAAGCAGCCCTGAACTAAAGCGTGTAAGAAAAATAAATGGAGAATTTGCTTTTGTGTCAGTCTTTGCAGAATTTCCTCACTGATTGAAGTTGTTTTTATGTTTCCCCTCAGACATTTCAGACATTGACATTCCCACTCACAGAACGTCTCGTCAACCCACCAGAGAGAAACGGACACGCAGGTACATATTACACCTACCCCGCCACCAAAACTAATTACTATTAAGGAGAAGTAGTGTTTGTAATCTCACAGTAGTTCAGTGTATTTTCTTATACTGTTATTTCTTGGGTGGGGATTAGCTAAGTCTGCCATTACCCAAAACTTGTCTCACCACTGACATGCTAGTTTCATTTCAAAAGTTGCTCCTTTCTCCTGTTTAAAGAATAAAGGCACTGAGGAATTCCTTTTGATCTTTTTTTTTTTTTCTTTCATTCTTTTTTTTTAAACCCAGAATGAGAGCTGACCCTCCTCCGGCCAAGTCTCGGGATTCATCACCAGTGCGCTCCACCTTGTCTCGGCCTCCTGCAAAAACCTACGCCCCTCGCAGAGGTCAGACCCGCCGAGTCACTCTCTTTTACAAGAGCTGCAGTACACATAAGTTGTTGCTCACATGGTGGTTTTTTAGAAATATTAACACAGTGTGATTATTAAGTTGTATAAGCTGAACCTTAATTCTGAATTAGCAGAGTTTTAATGTTTCTGTAGCTGCTGGAATTCAGTTGAAATCCAAAAGACGTAGATAAAATTACACAGTGAGACAAAAAAGAGGAGACAATAATGATGTTTGTGACTGTTGCTGTTGTTTCTTCAGCTCCGTCTGAGTCGGAGTCAGACCACAGTGCCTCTCCTCCTCCTGTCAGGCGAAGCAGTCCGGACAGGGATCCTTCCAGCAAATACAAGTCAGTTCATTTTTAAGATGTGTTGAGAAATTATTGGTAATGAAAATCAAAATAAATGAAGAACGAAGGATCATTTTCAATGTTTGTGATTGTTTTGAAGATTTGATATAGGGGATTCACGATATGGCATTCTTTCCAGAAATAGACGATAATTACCTGCTTCTCATGGCCCATAAGATAACTTTGATAATTTCACTTTTATTGACTTTTTTTGATTTGTTTAGTTTATACACACCTGAGGGTAAGAAACAAATGGATGGATGATTTAACATTCCCCACTGACTTTTCAAATGTTCATTTATTTTTCTTTCTAGTAAAATACATAAAAAAAATCTTCAAACATGCTTTGGCTTTCATAAACATGAGGCCTGTGAAACATTTTGCATGAGAATTCAAAATAAATTAAATGCACTGATGAAATTTTTAACACATTACTTTGGTGCAGTCAACAAAAGCAATGTTGGCTTTGTATAATTGACTCTATTTATTGGTTATAATTTCATTTTCGGAATAATATATAATATAAATTTTTTCCATTATCAACTGACTGATAATTTATCAGCCTGATGTATATGCATCCGTAGTTAGAATCCTTACTGTTCTTTCTGCCAACATCATCATGGGTAGCAAAAGAAACATTTTTACAGCCATTTTGGGAGCGTGTAAGCACTCCTAAAACAATCACAAGCAGACTTTTTTTGTTTTACCACAATTCTTAAATATTTACATGTAAAGAAGACATAGATCAGGAGAAGGCACGCAATTATTTCTCACTGTACATTTACATTTGCATCTTACTGTAATCTGTTCAGCAGTGGAAACATTTTGACTTCTTTCACTTTCACCTTTAGTCTTTCAACAACTTTATTTTAGATTGGGTGGAAGAGGAATGTACTGGTTGGAGTAGTTATCGTTCCTTTCATTCCTTTGCTGTCAGTTGATACTTTCCCTGTCTGAAGTTGTGCACTCATGTAAAATCATGTTTAGAAATGAAAAGTGTCCAAGAAATGGTGTTTCTGCAGCAGTAATCTAGCAATGATTATTGGGTTTTTTCTTAATCCCTTAACTCAGTTAAAATAACCTGGATTTGTGTTAATAGGTCATTTAAAAACAATATGGTTGAAAGCCCCCAGTATTGCTGTAGTGCATGTAAACACAACAAATGTCAAATAAGGTGCTAAGAAAAAGATTTTTGATTTGCTCTTTCCCCAGAACTCTGTCTGGTGTGTCTACCCTCCCCGACCCCCGATCCTCTCCTATGGTCCAAAACTGGAGCACCTCCCGCCCCACCACCTCCGCCACCTCACGGCCTCGTAAGCCGGTGTCAGAGTCGGACTCTGACCGCAGCGCTTCCCCTCCACCGCGCAGAGAGAGCCCTCGCCAAGACGGCAGATACAAGTAAGGGCAAAGCTTGATTCAACTCCAAGCTTGAATTGGAGAACCAGTGAAATTAAATCTTTTTTTTTCCACCAGACATTTTCCAACTTTTTCTCCTCACCGTTCTCTCCCCAGAGTTCTTCCTGATGTGCCCCACACACTGAGAGGCTCCCCCATCACTGTTCGCCAGGATCCACCAAGGAGGGTCAACTCTCCTGTCAGAGTCCCATCCCAAGGTCAGTGTACACACACACATACCCACACCCCCACCCCTTCCTTGTGATGGCATACATCCTGAACTTTGTTGACAACCTTTTGACAATATTTGCTTAATCTTTGAATATCTGCTGCTGAACAGGGATCAACAGTGGAATAAAACTAAGGCCAGGCCAGAGCAGCCAGCATGAAAGGTGCTCCGTGCAGCATTTTATAACATGGTGGAAATGATCCACTATGTTTTTAAAATGGGGAAACACTGCCCTATCTGTTTGTCAGTGTTTTTATAAAATAGATTGAAGAAGGATTTACATTTTTGTCAATCCAGACGTGGTGACACGCATGTAACAGGCAGTGTAGAGGCAAGGAGCTGGCTGTTGTCTGGCTATAGTTGTAGTTATTTATGCTAACACATTAAAGGGCTAGTTCAACTCAATCACATGTTTTGATTTGAAGAGATGTTTTAATTATAAAACACCAAGTATGATGATGTAATAAATGATATCACAAGAAAGAAGAGACTCTGCAACACAGTAAAAGCAATATGTGTTGCTGCTTTAATCTGCAATGTTTTCTGTTTTCAGACTCTGAGTCCGAGTCGGACGGCAGCTTGGCGCCTCCTCAGAGGCAGAGCACCACTTACAGTCAGGACTCCCTCAGCAGATACAGGTACAGATGAAGGCCGCCCAACCCCAACCCCACCCCCCACCCCCTGTACGAAACCCAACCAGACGTCACGGACTGGGACACTGAGCAGACTGTGCGCTCCTCTCCGTTATTAACATTAGCTAATCACATGTTTGTTTTTTTATTTACTTTTTAAAAAACTTAAAATTAAGCTTTCTGTCTTGTGATCTTTATTGATTTGCTCATTTTGTGCCTTATGTCTCATTTTGTAGCCTTTTGATTTTGCCTGATTTGTGTTTTCGACTGTGTACCTTGTGTTTGTGGTGAACATGTTGTTAACCGATGAAATAAAAGTGACTTTCACTGAACATGTCCCTCTCCTGTATGTGGCTAAGTGTTGATTAAACAGAGGACACCTTAACACTGACGTAACAATATTCCAATCAGACATGTGTGGAATAGTTCCACGATTTATTGATCAGTTCCTACAAATCTGCATGTTTTATTCAGCATGTCAAAAACTGATAGTAACCATGATGTAACAAGATCAACTAATACTACTGATTGGTTAATTTGAATCAGTTACAAAGCAGTTAACCATCAAAGAGAGAGCTTCCCTCAGAAACACTAAGGTGAATATTCAATATCTCAGTCTCAACCTCTTATCAATAATCATCATATTAGCCACGCCCTACCCCCCTCTCCAAACGTAACTGAGATTTGTTGTCTTCCTCCTCCCTCACTCCCACCTCCCTCTCTTCTCTTGCAGAGTCTTGCCAGAAGTGGCCGTAGAGCCGCCGCCGTGGAGCGTCACTGCCAGCGTCACTGCCAGCAATCCGCCACAGAAAGGTGTGCGTCCTTAATGTGTGCATTTGTACTGAGTCAGCGAGCGTTGTGTACTGTCATGAAGGGAGCATCTGTGTGTTGTTGTTTGAATTCTATGAGTTTTATGCCTCATTTGTGGCTAAAATACAAAGCACATTTTAGGCGTTAAAATTCTCTACTTTTAGATCATTTCTTAATATGTTTTTGAAGATGTGGTCATCTACACGTCTTTGCTACTGGCCAATTACTTCCAAAATGATGTGCTGATGTATGAAATTGTTTTCATAATGAAAGCCTTTTGTTTATCGATCTTCACAGCTCGTTCTGAGTCTGAGTCGGAGGCTAGTTACGAATCTCCCCCTCGCAGACACTCTACAGACAGCGCAGACTACAACACGGCCAACAGTCGATACAGGTGAGATCTTAAGTTAGAAGTTGACCGTCTGCAACATGTCAGGTTTCTGTTGGCAATAATTGTCTCAACAAGCAAGTTACTGGGATTCAAGTCGAGCCCCACGTGCTAATAAGAAACACGTTGCTTCACTCACTATTTTTATAAACATGACCTGTGGGACAAACCAGAAACTCTAAACTTTACTTTCTTTAGTACGTCCAAAGGTCTACATTTAACCTCAGACAACACAGCTGACAGTAAACCAGCAGGCTACTGATAGTAACCTGAGCAGGTGTTCACATAATATGTCTGTAGTTTGTTAAATATTTGATGATGGTCAACTAAAAATCTTACCTAATTGGTCTTAAATATCATGTGTCATATTCCAGAGTCGACATTAGACAGAATAAATTGTTACTTTTATCACAAAGTGAGTTCAGGTTAGTCAAGCTTTCTCTATCAGGCAACAGTGACACATGTTATCCTGGGAAAACAAAACAAGTGTCCGGGAAAAGCAACGTATTGAATTGCAAATTTCTGTCTCCTGATCATTGTGGACAAAAGTAATATAAATGAGTGTGGTATAAATACAGAATAAAGTACACCACTAGATTATTACAAGCTAGAACTTAAAAAAATGTAATAAGCATTTCCTGTAGTATTAGATGCAGAACACAATGTGGCATGTAAGTGCACCTTTTAGCTTACCACTTCACTGTGGAGGTGTGTAAAATGATACTGACAGGATGTCTAACTGGTTCTTCTGCTTAACACTCATTGTAAAACACTCACTCACTTCCTGCAGGGGTTACGTCACATGTTTCAGTTCAATGGCTCATGCACAAAAGCATTTTTTCAATCTCGCAAACGACAGATGATGCACTGGTGCTTGTTTTGTTTCTTATTCATCACAAAGTGACAAAATGGTTCAATGATATTTTGGCTCCTTACATTTATTTGATTTACTCACAGAGTCCTGCCTGAGGTCAGATCCACTTCAGTCGCTGTGAAGCAGGAGCCTCCACGTCGTGTCCCATCACCCATCAGACCATCTCCTGATGGTCAGTCTACTCTTCTGTGTCACACGCACTCTTCATCCTCTGCTCCTCTGTATTGTCATCTAAAGTAGATCAGAAAGACAAAGAAGGTTAGTCTTGACCGCAGTCCCTGTTGTCTGTTTACCTCATTCAGATTCCTCCGAGTCAGACCAGCTCTCACATCTCAGGAGGTCTGGGAGCTCTGAGCGTGGGGACAGCCGCCGCGGGTACGGCTGAGTGCTGCCACACACTTTATCAAAATCAAATCAGTGTTATCCTCACATAAAAACTCTTTTGCTAGTATGAATTTGCTACGTTATGTTTTCTCCACGTCACAGTGTCCCTCGTGCGGCTAATGGAACTGGCACCCTCAGGTCTGGGATTTCAGTGACGAGCAACCCACCGCTCTACTGTAAGGCTCAAGACTAGAACTAGTCCGAGAACCTAATTGATATTTGTTTAATTGTTTGAATAATGAATCATCCCAAATGTTAAAAAACTTTTTTTTTTTTTCTTTTTTTCTTTTGTGATTTAGTAGGTAAAATTGCGCCGACAAAATTTTTAACATTCAAGATGTTGATCTCTGGTGAATTGCACCACTAGTAGTCTCAAAAGTTTCCGTATCTCTTCTAGCCAAACCTGCAGAGGAGCCCCTCTACTCTCTGCCTCCAGATTCTTACCCATCAGCTAATCCAGGGTGAGTCATTCGTGTGAAAACCAACATTTGCATCTAGTTAATTTATCTCAGCAGAAATGAACACATTGCTAATTCTCCTTCTCACACTCTTCTTGTCTTTCTCAGGTACAGCTCAGACCTTCACACAGTGTCGTTTGTGAAGGACGGCAGCGTGGGCCTGAGGCTTGTGGGGGGGAACGATGTTGGTATATTTGTAGGCGGAGTTCAGCCGAACAGCCCTGCGTATGACGAGGGAATGAAAGAGGGAGACCAGATCATGCAGGTGAGATAATGGTTGTACTTCTTGCAGTAGTTCTTTGACCTTTTATTTTTTTATTTTTTTTTTTTCCCTCAAGATGAACTGTAATGAAGAGGATAATAATTATTTCAACATCTAGAACTGGAAATTCTATTTTAAGATCAACTATAGGCCCTATGTTGGCATGTCAGCTGATTTTCAAGATTATGGAGAGTCTTTATCAGTCTACCAAAAAATATAACAGGTCATCATGAGTCAGCACAATTTATTATGTGGTGCTTAAGATGTCACATCAGATGTCCTTGCCACTTGCGCTTAAGAGCAAAGTTAAATCAAATGTGCCAGAATTTAACTTGATCATGCAATTTAAGATGGTGAAATGTGGAATGTAAATGCAGTGAGTTCTCGCTGACTAATCTGCAAAAGTCGACTGTTAATGACTTTTGACAGTCTTTTTTTAAAATGTAAACGTCCTCTAGCTTGGATCTGGCTTGAGATAAAAATGTCTTCCTCCTTTTAAACTTGTCTCTCATTTTGTCCAGGTAAATAAAGTTGATTTTGCTCATTTCACACGAGAGGAGGCAGCCAACTTCCTCCTGAACATCAAGAATGGAGAGCGGGTTGAAATCTGCACTCAGACAAAGATGGACAGTGAGTTTATCGTTAAACCGCTCATGTGATAATTATGGGTGTATCTACTGACAGTCAGGAATCTTAACTTTTCCCCTCTTTCCAGTTTATAAGAAGATCATCAAGTCCAACCTAGCAGACAACTTCTACATCCGCACCCACTTTGACCACGAGGCAGAAGGCCGCATTGGTCTGAGCTTCACCAGAGGAGAGGTGTTCAGGGTGTTGGACACGATGCACCGCGGGAAGCTGGGCAGCTGGCTGGTTGCCCGCATGGGGAACGACCTGCGTGAGATGGACAAAGGCACCATCCCCAACCAGGCCAGGTCAGTAAGAGATGGGAAAGAGATTTATATTTTCTGGTTCCACCAAGAACCATTATTCAATCTGTTGTTATCTCCCGCAGGGCTGAGACACTGGCCAGCATAGAGCAGGCACAGCGGGCGAGTGGAGAGAGGCAGGTGCCGGGACAGAGGGCTGAGTTCTGGAAACTACGGGGGCTCAGAGGGAACAAAAAGAATGAAAAGAACGTCCGTCGGACTCGTGATGACCTGCTGCAGCTCACCATTCAGGGCAAATTCCCGGCCTATGAGAGAGTCCTGCTCAGAGAAGGTCAGCATGTTGTCCGTCCTCACACACAGATGACGCCATGTAGAATCGAGACCTTGAGTGTCAATAATCCTGAATTGTTTGTCTCCAGCTAATTTCAAACGACCCATTGTCATTCTGGGTCCTCTTAATGACATTGCCATGGAGAAGCTGGCCAGAGAGATGCCTGATGAATATGAAGTGGCAGGTTAGTTTCATCTTTTGTACGACATTCTTCCCTTGTTTCTTATTTTCGTGGTCTGATGTTTACATTGTTTTTTGCATTATGACAGACATGGTCCCTCGCAGTGGAGGAGGAGACGGCTCCTCCACAGTTATTAAACTGGACACAGTGAGGAGAATAGCGGAGAAGGTGAGCCAGTCTTCCATCAACCAATAGTAGAAACAATTTGATATTTAGTCACACCAAACATCTTGTTTTGTTTGCTTTGTTGCTCCCCCCTCACGCCCTAGTGTTTGCTGCTCTTTCTTCTCAGGACAAGCACCCTCTTCTGGACATCACTCCCACTGCAGTAGAAAGGCTGAGCTACATCCAGTACCACCCAATGGTCCTGTTCTTGGACCCTCACAGCCGCAAGGACGTCAAGGTCATGAGGCAGAAGTACAGCCCACACTCCAACAAGAGCTCCAGACGCCTTTACACACAGGCCCTCAAGCTGAGGAAACACTGCAGCCACCTTTTCGCAGGTAATGACCCACAAGCAAAGTCTGGCATATATTATTACTGAAAGTACATTAGACTATATAAAGATAAGTAGGTTGCTTCTTTTTTTCTTTTTCTATTTAACCCTGACTATTACTACATCTGGAACTAGTACCAATTTACATTGTATGTACTTTTCACTTTTACATTATGTTTTCCTCATGACATTCCCTCCAGCACGTATTGACCTGCAGCCCAACTCCAATGTTTGGTACGAGAGTCTAAAGGATAAGATCCGCCACCAGCAGTCAAAGCCGGTCTGGGTGTCTGAAGTCAAGGTATGACACACACGGCTCCTTCAGTCTAATGAAAAATCTTCAGAAAGGTCCAACTTTCAAGAATTTCATTCATAACCTTGCATTTGCTAATGCATTTTATTTTTAAAACTATGTACATTGTATGATTTTTTTATTTTATTTTAAGTTATTTACTGTTCCAACTTGGTTGAGGTTTTTTTTTTTATAATTAGTGAAAGCTGCTAAATTAGAGTTCATTTTAAATATGTAATTGTATGCTTAATGAGTTGGTGCCTGTGTTGTCTATCTTACAGTTTGTTAAATGTCTCTTGCTGTCCAGTGGCTAACTAAAATATTTTTCTGTCTAGTTGGAGAGTGGTGGAGAACAGGACTTAGATGCTCTGGACCAAAACCAGTCCGACTACCTCAGTGCTGCCAGTGACCTGGAGGACACTGATGGAGAGGCCTTCACCGATGGAGAGGCCTACACCGACAACGAGGACCTGGAGGAGGCTTACCCCGGTCAGAACGCAGCCAAGCCCCCCAGGGGCTCCAGGCTAACTGGAGCTGCCTTAGCCCGATCATCTGAGCCCGCCTCTGGGCTCGACAGCCCCACCATGGACTCCATGGAGCCTCACGCCGACTTGTACTCACTCAAAGAGGTTCCACCGTTGTTGCACGTACCTGAGCCCAGGTCACCCCGCCAGGAGAATTACAGCCCACCCCACAGTGCTGATGAAGAGGAGGACCACTCTCAGCGCAGTTTTACAGACTCTGATTTCGGTGCCCTTGATGTAATTCCACCCGCCTCTCCGTCAGACGGACCCCCAGACTTTGTAGCCCCCAATCCCTATACTCAGCCCTCTGTGGACAATACTTACGAGGTGCCGCCTGAGAGCCCACCACATGCTAGCCTGTCTACTATTGAGGAGAAATTACAACAGGTAAATAAACTGCTCTTATTTAGAGTAATTATTATGTGTTTGTGTTTAAGGCTTTACTTTTTTTTTTTTAACTAACAAGTGTACTGGAATGTTAAGTAATTAAGTTAAGTAATTAGTCAATAAATTGACAAAAAAAAATGTTATAATATTGGCTGGTTTACTTAGTTGTATATTTGGCTTTTGCACTACTGATTGGACTTTGTTTAAAACCCATGTCTCTCGTGCCTCTCATCTAGGCTCGCTCTGCAGAGCCACAGGCACAAGCTGAGGAAAAGAAGGGCCCTCAGTTCATCGTGTAAGCCTTCTTCTGCTGTCTTTGTGTTTCAGAGTAAAGCCAGACGGAGGCAATGTGCTAATCTTAACCCCTATGTTCTGCTCTTTGACAGGCTCGCACACCATCACCAAGCAGTCCAGTTCAGACGCACACAGATCCAAGGCAGCGACAGCTCTGAGGATGAAGTGGACGAGGAGGAGGACTTTGAATGGGGTCCTGCAACAGAACTCTAAAGTTTGCGTCGAGGATTAAAGCTGGAGGCTACTGATCTAACGAGGATTTTTGCCTGCAGATGTTGGTCGGCCTACGCTAAGGGCCTTGTTCAGATGTGAGACATTGGATATTCAAGAGTTATACAACCTTTTTAACAGATTACTACTAAACATTTTAACATCCCAAAGAAAGGTTGTCACATGAATGTTGGGATTAAAGTGCCTGATTTCTTTTCATACTTTATTTAAGTAACTCCATGTTGAACAGATCGATTTGCCATTTTGTTAGTGCTATTGTATGTAACATATCAACAAATAATAGTTTAATTGGAAATTATACTAAATGAGTCTCTTAAATATGCAAGAACATTTATTAAATGTGTGGATGCCCTTTTTAACTTTTTCTACATTAAAACTGTTTCCTGATTTCAAACGTGGGTTTGTTCAATCATACAAAACGGCAAAAACTTATAAATGTCTTTAAAGGCTTTATTGCATTTTTGCCTGTATTCACATAAGTAGAAAGGACTTGTATTTCAATGGTCGGACAAAGACATTTTAAAGCAAGGTGTGACACAGAATGTACCTGATATCACACTCCAAGGGTGGATAAGCAAGGGCAAAGACGCTCGGGGGCTCTCAAAGACAGAAGGTTCTGTAGCAATTATTTTGTGGTTTATTTGAATTAAAAAAAATAATATGCACTTATACTTAATGCTGAGGCCTTGTGTTGTACAGAAGCCCTGTGTTAAAACCTCATTAATAAATCAGTTGCTGCTCTGCTCACATGCTGCATATTCTTTTAATACATTTGTGTGTAATCAAATAATCAAACTCCCATGGGAAGGGAGGGATTATGAGAAGGGGCCCACAATTAATTTTCGCACTGGAGGCCCCCCCTTAGTGAATTAATCCAGCCCCCTCTACAGTCACATTTCACTATTGTCACATTGAACATTTAATCAGATTTCATTCCTGAATCCCAGAAGATAAAAGTATAAACCCCAGTTGGCACTCAACATTTCAGTAGCCGAAAATTAAATTAATCTTGTTTTTTTATTTAGTCCACTCCAGATGACAAAATGTAACAACTACTGAATACTAATTGTTTGTTTATTGTATTGTAATTTAGAGCTTTTAAATATTTTAACATTATATAAATTGGTGTGGAATTCCCCTCATCAAATCCCCATCTTCTGGGAATTTCCAAAGAACAAAAGTTTGATATTTAAATTTCAACTCACTGATTACTCAGGCAGGCCTGTTCAGTTGCTCGTAATCTTTACGGCCTGTTTTGCTTCCAGGAAAAGCATATAAAAACATACACGAGAGGCTTGTGAAAACTGTGCTGTCCTTTGATTTCGCAATTTCTCTACCTGCCTCCTGTACCTAACCACTTTCAAAGCTTTGGGCTACATGGCGACCGTATAAAGATTTTAATTTCACGGCTGGAGCAGGTGCCCGAGGAGGCGGAAGGTTATCAAAAGCCTCGGGTCACATGTTGGAAACACACGTGTGCCATCATGATGAACTGATTACTGTGAATTTGAACAAGGCTGCGGTTGCTGTTTGGTGACAGGTTTGCAGTCAGTTCTCATTCCAAATTGAGTTTGAATTTAGTTTAACTTGCAGGATACGTTTTATTGAGTGTAACCTAGTCGAAATTTATCTTCCCAAAACTTCGTAGTGTTTCACCCGTGCGTCCCTCCTCCTCCTCCCCCTGAGGAAGCTGAACGTACGCGCAGAGCGGATGCCGGGAGCGCACAGACAGTTTGCGGTGAGCTGTCTGTATCTGTGTCAGTGAGCCTGCGCGGCTTGATGTGCGAAAGCGGGAGGAGGAAGACAGACAGACAGTTACCGTGGCTGAAACTCGGCCTGGATGGCACCGAGCTCCCGCTGAGCGCGAGCGGCAGAGCACACAAGTGGCGAGTCGGGGGGTGGGTGGGGGGGCTGTGCGTGAAAATCAAAGAAGTCGGGATGGACGGCAAAGGCACGCTGAAGATGTTCACCAGGAAGAAACGGGAACTGATTAAGACGCCATCAATCTCGAAGAAGAGCCGAGCAGGAAGCCCCGGGCCGCAGAGCAGCGCCCAGTCTGTGAGTAGCGCATCACTTCTGGTTTCTGCATGGCTCTGCTGGTGTGAGTGTGAGTGTGCGTGCTGTCAGATGACCTTCAGCTGGAGGGGGGGGAACAGGCTGCAGAAAGGGCTCCGGACAAGGGTTGATTGTGTGTGTGTGTGTGGAAACTTAACATCGAGTTTAGTTTGACTGCTGAGTGTGAGGTGTGTGAGAAACTGCTTGAAAACATTCATTATGATGCAGTGTCAGAGAGCTGGATGTTAAGACATGTGCCTGACTGCTCACTGACTCATCTGACTCTTAAAGGGGGTTTTGCTTTTACCACTAAAGCAGTGACAGGCTGCCTGTGTGTGTGAATGCTCTTGAATGCGAGATCTGTTTCAAAAAAGTTGACTCGTGCTTAGTTAGAATGGGGACAAAGCTGTAGGGAGAAGGAGCATGCTGAAACGTGGAGCCAAAAGTAGCTACAACCCTTACTCTACCAGTCAGAGAGTTAAGAAAGCCGAGTCGAAGGGCAAGGACAGGCTGGACATACTGCCCAACAAGCACAACGTATGGCTTAAGCAGGTATGTTTGGTACATGTACGCCATCTTATGTGGGCATCACCAACAGCAAATACCCTTTCTTGTAAAATATTTGCCATCTTTGTAGCAGTGAGAAGGGCTCTTTGGCTTTGCCAGGTCTAAAAACTGTAAGGTACTAACTGTAGTCTAAGTGGAAGATTAGATGAACCTATCAAGGCTAAAAACTGATTTTTATTATTTATTTATTGTCTGTGTTATTGGCAGATGAGAAGGAGGTGGAAATACCTCCTGTAAATATCGCTGTTATTATTCCAAACAGTAGATATCTGTGTTTCTATACCCTGCTCGATTTGCCACACCCGTCAACAGCTTGGAGTCAGGAAGTGTTGCACAATGCCACTCAGGATCTTGTGAAAGTCTTCACATGTGTGTTTACCAACAATGGCGCTGCTGGGTTTCAGGCCACAGAAGCAAAGAGGAGTCACATTGGTGCTCCTCATGACGTTAAGGTCAAGCTGGAAAGCGTGAATCAAGAGATAGCCTTGACCTCTCTCTCTTTCTTTCTTTCTTTCAGCTGTCCATTCTGCAGGAGCAGCCTCGGAAGGATGCAGGCGATGTCACCCTCTCCTCTTCACCCTCATCATCTTCCACCTCTTCGACTCTCACCCCAACATCTGCGGGGCTCCAGGACCCCTCCCAGTCTTGCCCCAGCACCCCCAGCACCCATCAAAGTAAGCTGGCGGCGATGCACGGAGTGGGCTGCCCGTCACCTGTGGCTACCCTGAAGAGGCCCACTGCGTTGAGCAGGCACGCCAGCGCTGCAGGTCCGGTGCAATACATCCAAAACTGTTCATCACTATGTTTGAGTTTAATGAAATGTTCTCAAATATACTTTCTTTCCACCACATTCACACCTGAGCAGAAACAGAAAGCAAAATCTGGAGAAAAACAACACAAAATATTGGTGTAATCTGGAGTAGGCCTGCCTCTCAAGCTGGCTTTAATTTTTGATTTTGTTGATTTATTCTTTTTCATTAAATAGTTTAGTCTCAAACGTCAAAAGAAAGTTGAAAATACCCTCACAATGTCCCAGAGTCCAAGCTGACATCTTCAGGATATTCATTTAACACATAAAACAGAAAAAAGCAGCAAAGCCTCGCATTTAAAGGAACAATTTGACATTTTTGTGAATACGCTTCTTTACTTTTTGGCAAAGAGTTATGTGAGAAGATTGATACCGCTGTCTCTGTCTCTTACTTATATAGCTTCAACCACCAGCCGGTTAGCTTAGCTTAGCATAAAGACAGGAACAGCTAGCCTGGCTCTGTCCACAGGTAACAAAATCCACCAGCCAGCAGCTCCACACCTCATTAACACATTAAATCTGGTCTGTTTGATTTGTACAATAACTGAAGTGTAAAATGACCGTTATCAGTTTTACAGGGCGGGGTTATGTGTCAGACCATTTTTTTGTCTGGTTGCAGTTGTTAGTGGCAACTGTTGCAGACTCTAGGAAGTTCCTACTCCTGAACAAGGAACAGTCTGGCGCACAAAACCCCATAAAACAGCAACGAAGCTTGCTGCTTTTATACTTTGGTATTTGTATGGGTTAAAGAAGATACTAAGTGTTAACTAGTGAGGTTTTTTGGTGGTGATTTTGTGACAGAGCCAGGCTAGCTGTTTCCCCTTGTTGTGAGTTTTTGTGCTAGGCTAAGGCTGTAGCCTTATACAGTACTTTATGAACAGATCAAACAGAGTGGTATTGATCTTCTCATCTAACTCTGAATAACCATTCTTTCCCCCTCAAAATGTCGAACTATTCCTTTTTAAGAGTTTGGAACTGTAAAATTTTAGGCATTTTTGCCTGATAAATGACTGTTTATCCTCTGTTTTCTCATCAGGATTCCCGCTGCAGTCGTGGGTGTTCACCAAAGGCCAGGGAAAAGGGGCTTTGACCCCCACTGCCCCGTCTGAAGGTCCAGAGAGTACAGCCATTGAGGTGGAGGACATTCCCGCCCTGCTGAGGGATGTGGCACGTTTTGCAGAGGCTGTGGAGAAGCTGAAGGATGTCGTGCTGGCTGAGGGTATGCATTGACAGATGACGTGGGGGTTTTTTTTGTTGTTTTTTTTTTTTTTTTAAAGCCTTTTCTACAAATTTCCACCTGGCACAAATCTCATGTCAGTCCCGTGAGCTGGTGCATTTATTTTTTTTTGGCCAAATTACAAGCCATAGAAACGTGTTTGAGGATGTGTTATGGGTTGATTTGGGTTTGCACAAAGTGTTGTGGGAGTGACTCTCCTCCTGTTCTCCGATCACATGAATAATGCTTGTTTTCAACACTGTGGAGACGAAACAAAGCTCTCTTTGCGTGTGTAGCCAGTTGACAGTATGCCATTGTTTCATTTCTGTGTATATGTATATTTGTAACGTGTTAACTTTGCAGGCCGAACAATACCGTTTGGTTTCTCTTCTTCCCCTTTGCCTTCAATCCATTTTGACAAGGGCTTACGCTAAAAGGACACAAGGCTTCCACAAAAGGTTTTCTGTCAATCTTAACATCAGTCCTGTTCTGGACATGTGTGCATTGTGCAAGCAAGCTAACAAGTGGCTGTGAGCGTCCCCTCTCCAAATGAAGGGCTACGTTTCCGCTGCGCCCACAGAGTCGACCGCACTCCAGCAGGAAGCCAGCTTCTTGTTTACTGCAGCCTCATACACGCACTCTTCCCCTCCTGCACGATGCAGCAAGGCTTAATGGCAGAACACCTATACTCCATGTGGAGTAAATGCCACCACTTCAGAGTTGATTCCACCTGCTTAACAAACTGAACGTTTAACCTAAAAAGGACAGGTGTTTTTTAAGCCATTATGGTTCACTTCTTCAGCA